TGTTTTTTTGGAAGTTATTTGATCTCCTGTGTGCAAAGAAATAATGTTTTTGGTTTTTCACTTCCTCATCCAGGTTGTGCTATGACATCTCCTTCTTCAGGAACAGTTCCTGTCCTTCTGTTTAGACCTCATCCTTGATCCTTATTTGCACTCTTGCCATACGAGTCCCACCTCATGCCTATTTTCCACATGAGCTGTAGCTTTCCCAAAGAAGTGTGAAGAAAAAGCTACTGAAAAATAAGGAAAGATTCTTCTCTCCACCCCTTCCTGTTCTCCCCTGTTCAAGCACTTCACCTTTGAAAGAGCTTCTCTTCAGGAGACAGGCTATTTTGGGACCCTTTATTCAACAAGAGTTGACACTGGGAGCAAAGTCGCAGCTCTGGCCTGGTGAATAGCAGCCAGAGTGACTTGACTGAAACCTTGACTCAACATTGCTAAAGAAGCAGTATTTAATGGAAGTTGTAACTTCTCTGAAGATATATATGGAGTCATTCAGCCATCCCTCTCAATCATTGGAGAGAGATCGTCTCCTTTAGAGGAGCAATCCAGATCACTTCAGYCATGCTCCTCCAGTAGCTGACTCAGAGCTGGAGCCTGTCTCTCCCCATTAACTGGGGAAGGAGGYTTCACTGCTTAATTTGATGAGCTAAATTCAGATCCTTTGATGCAGGAGTTATGAGCTTCCCTGGTAGCCTGTGCTGGTCAACGTCAAAATATGCATCTGAATTATGGGCCAGATGACCAACAGAGAAGGCGTCAGCCAGATTTGATCTTCTATCGCTTTCCATGATGATGAGAAGCATGGCTCTCCCTCAGCAGAAAACATAACTTCTGACGAGGATGGATTTTGCAGACTTGTCGATATTTGATTCCCAAGGTACAGCTTCTACAAATAAATATAGGTTACGGAGAATAAAGAAAAGTGGTCAGAAGGATTTTAAGAACTTGAATGCAAAAATTAAAAAACAATCTCCAAAGGTCTAAACACCTCCTCCATCAAAACTGCAATGAGTCAGGAGTGGAGAATGCAGATTTCAGAGCCTACAAGAAAAGCATCGCCTTGCATCTGCGTCTCCTTCCTTCACCTCCATCGCCCAAGCGCAACAGGTTTCTGAAGGGCTACATTTTGACTTGTGCAGTCTCCCACCAGCTGAGATCTCTGCCTCAGCACTACACACCACAGCTTCCCACCGTTTTTAGTTCTTCTCTCCATCAAAACCCAGAGCTTAATTAATTGGTTCTTCCTTACCCCTTTCTCATAAAGAGATGGTCTCACAAGATAACATCTTTCAAGGTAATTTTCAAGTCCTGAGAAACAGATATCAGAGTTATATGGGCATTTAGCAGCACAGGGGGCAGGGAYTGGGAAAGATCAGGAGACTAGAACATGCAAGCCTTAGGTACCTAAAAGAGCAGTCAGAACACCTGAAAGCAATTTAGCTACTTAGAAAGGTTAAAGAGCACATAGGTGAATGAGCACYTCTCATCCATGCATGAGCCTGGGTTGTTCTGTCATCGTGGTGCTTGCCTGGAGCTTGAGAAGGATCAGGAAGACAAATGTTAATTACCAGTTGAAAGTAGCTGGTTGCATTTTAAAAGTGGGACTTGGGGCACTGTGTGAAAGCAAAGGAAAAGAAAGTAGCTGGGTGGGTAGAAGGACTAACTAAGCATGGGCTCCTCCAGACCAGTGTAACAGAGTCTCTGGAGTCCAGTAGGGCATGTGTGGGCTTAGATCGAGGCTTTTCCACAGCTGCACTCACAGCACCTATGTCTTCAACAGATGCTCTGGCTGCTGTTACGAGTTGAGTGCAACCAGCAGCCCTTCCTCTGCCCAGGCATCTCCCTCCTCTACCTTGCTGCATCTTTTCATGAAACACATAGGCTTTTGCCATCCTGTCAACTGCAGCTGAGCTTGGCCAGCAACACAGCAATGACTGGAGAAGACAGACATGCACCCTGAGGGGCAGAAAATGGCCAAAAATGTTGCAAGCCTACCCACTCCCACCTGGCAAGTTGGTCCATGTGGYAGAGGCTTGAAGGTCTCTCCTGCAGATTCCTTATCTGCTGCCCATGTCACCTGTAAGTTACAGTCATATATTAATRTACAATAAGAGTGATGTATAGGAAAAATGCATGAATGCATGATTGTAACCCACAGGTACATTAATAGCTACTAAAACCCCATCTGCAGCTGATAGATCTTTAAAACTCTGAAGACAAAGCGGCAGCTCCAGAGGATCGGCTGCTTTTCCTCTTAAAGGTGAAAGAGCACACACGGCTACAGCACTTTTCCAGGTCAGTACCTGGACTTAAGCAGCACTGTCCCCATGGTGCTTCCTGGGACTTAAGAACCAGACTGACAAGTGCAGCTGTCAGCAGTTTGCCTTTCTCACTGCTGATGACCAGAGCACAAAATACAAAYGCAATAGGTTCCAGGGACCACCTTGGAAATTTCACTTACATGCCTGAAAGGACTTGAGGCGAGGATGTTCAGTGTAAAATACTTGTAAAAATTATTTCCCGGCTGTCAGCATCTCCTTAAATCGACTGAGTCAGATCTCTGTAATTACCATATAATCCTACACTTCTAAAATGGGATGCGCAGGTAACTAATCGGTTTTCTAATCTAGCTGTGTTCTGGGGATTTGGTGTTTTCATTCAAAAAGGATTGCAGGTAACTGAATAAGATGAGACAGGGCTCTGTAAAGATGACACGGTCCATGAAAGCTGCATTTTTGGCAACTACAGTTTGAGAAACCAAAAATATTCAGAGGAGCTGAGGATTTGGAAAGAAGCACACTTGTCTGAGCATTCAGATGCCAGACTCTCCCAGAATGCAGCCTGCAAAGACGAAAGTGAAGGATACATTTTTTTAGGGGATCTTTTTTCCTCTTGACCATCTCTAAATCACTRTAGCGAGAAGTTCAGCCCCTTCAATCTCTCCAAACAGCCAGTGGCCTCAGGTGGGGTTCAGATCTTGTTTTTCAGGAATGAGGGCTCAGCACATGCTTCAGTGGATGCCACGAGGCTTTTCATCCTCGTGTGCTGTCAGCCTGTGCCTTCTCATCACTTATGCATTTGGATCAGGTGCAGCAGGCAGGGAGAACTGCTGAAGTGCCATCTTGCATGAAATCATTCGTTTGGGTTATGGAGGGAATTTTCCGTCTCGGAGTTCTGCCTTGTGCTCTATTCTCTCAACTCCTTCCGCAGACCTAAACAGACCGAGATACAGCAGGGATAACAGAGAGCAGATCCACTGAGTGCAGTGAATGAAGTGCGTCTGTCCCCATTTTTTTTTTCTATAACCAGGGAGTCYTCCTATTTCTGCATCTGGTTTCCTTTGCCAAGTCATAATGCCCTGTCTGCGGAGTTACAATTAATCACTATGGAGACTGCTGCAAAGTCACCAATTTGGGATTAGTATTTCAGCTGAGAACTAAGCAACAGGTGCCGTGTGGCTCTGAGGAAACAGGAATTGCTTTTTTTCTTTTTTTTTTTTTTTTTTTTGTCTACTGGTATGCAGTGGCTGAGGGTGAAGAGAGGCTTTCCCTGGCAGCTGTAAAGCTCAGTGTGCAGGCCAGGTGCTTTGATGGGGTTTTCCAAAGAAGCAGAGCCTTCATCACAGGCTTGGGGTCTCTGTCTCAGATGGGGGTAGGAGGAGGCCTGATTTGTTTGTTAGAAGGGTTGAATTTGGATTCATGCAGAAGGTCTCTGACTTTCCGTGCTGCAGAAGACTTGAACCCCACATAAACCTCTGTCCTCTATCTGGAGGTGTGCGGTGGAGGGGGTCACCTCAGAGGGCAGAGAAGCAGCAGGAGCTGCAGGGGTCCCAAGGTAGATCTATGCGGATGGGTGCCGGTGGAATTTGGGGTTCCTGCACTGGGGTTCCCCTTAGGGTTTGGATGAGAATGCAGACAGCTGTATTAGCACAGAAGCATGGCATGCGCTGCATGCAGAGCAAAGCCATGTGCCTTTCTGCAGCCAAGGTGCATGCAGGCCCCTGTGCAGCAGCATGTCCTCCTGCAAACAAACCTAAATGCAAGAACACAGCCCAGCAGGCAAACTGAGAGGGGGCGGCAGGAGCTGCTGCTGCTTAGAGCCCTGGTAAGAGCGTTACAGGCTCTAATCGCAGCCCTGGGCCATCTGCTGCCCTGCTCTTCCCTCGGAGACAGCAGCCCAGGCATCCTCTGGCTCTGCCCATCACTCCCAGCATGAGTGGTGCTGTAGACAGAGCGCGGCTCTGCAAAGCTCTGCATGAACATGTCCTGGGGCTGAGACTAGCACCAACTGTAGACATGTGGCTCGTTCCCCAGGACCTCAGCACAGGCAAACCGAGGGGCTGCAATCAGCTGTAAGTTGTTGTGAGCTTGTAACCTCACTTGAGCTTCTGGAGAGCAGACCTGAATATGTCATCTTTTCCATTTGGAAGGGAGAGCGCAGCCCTGAGCAGAAGGGAATTGTGAGCATCCTTGGGATTTGCCAGAGCAGGAACCAGCTTCAGGGAAGCACGGCTTTGTGAACCCAGACGGATGGCCCTGGATCCTCAGCAGGTTGGGGTGACATCCAACACACAGAAGAGGAATGACAGCCCTGGACGACGCTGCATAGGTTTTTGTAGTTGAATCCTCTCCGTGTTTAAGCAGCCTTGGAGCAACTGAATGCACAACCTGACAGGTGCTCTGCAAAATAGCAGTGATGAATAAATGCATCCAGAGGCACTCCAGGAATGCAAAAGCAGCGTTTYTGAGCAGGTGGTGCCTCTGCAAAGTCATCAGCAGGGCTCCGTGTGAGCTCCCCATGCAGCTAAAGGTTTATGCCCTTGCCCAGCTGCTGCAAAAAGGACGGGGGCTGGGGCAGATCCAACGCATTCGTGGATGAAATATTTAAGTGAATTGCTGTGGAAGGGCCTCTAGGGGCATGGTAGTATATTGTCCTTGTAATGCACAAGACACTGAGCCTTTCTCTGTGGCTCTGCTTCACCATGGTACATTATCACAGCTGTGCAGTAAAGACAACACTTCTGGACCTCAAATCATTGCCACCACATCCTCTCCCAAGTGCTTTCTTGTTAGGTCAGATGCACTGAAACATGTGCCGGACTCATAGTCCAGTTTTGGCTTTAGGAGTGTCCTGAATACTCCCCAAAGGAGACACTGCTGAGCCCACCATATTGTGCCTGCCCCAAGGAGCCCTTAGGGAGACAAGTGGCCCTTGTGAGTTCAACCAGCTCTGCAGCTGCTCCAAGTGAGCTGGSACAGAGCCCACGTCCCAGCAGTGCTCCCTGGCAAGGAGCCTCTACTCCAGCCCTCTGCACCTTTGGATGTTGCTCCAGCCCCCAAACTGCATGTTCCCAGCATCAAGCAGCAAGTACAGAAAGGTTTGCTGCCTCAGAAGAAGAACTCAAAACACAGCTGCTGGGAAGGACGAGGCATGGTTTCAAAAGCACCCATTCCATCTATTTTCAAAGCTGAGGAAAAGGAAATGTTAGAGCTGCTTTCAGTCTGGGGAAGAGGAGCAGATGCGTTCCGATTTTATCTAAATCCATGTTCTCAACACGTGGACCATATGTCCCTGGTACTGCGGTAGCCCCAGAAAGCTTGCCCTGCTACACAGCCTTTCAAAATAAAGTTGTCCAGTCATCAAAAGTGGYCTAGCAGAAGCCCAGAGCAGCTGCTGAGGCAGAAGCCAACTTTCTTTAGTGCTGCAATCAGCACTGTGATACAAAAAAAATGAGGTTCCTCCCCCTGCACATTTTTATGCAGCTTCTACTCTTTTGCACTTTTTTTGTCATCTAGGGCACTCATTGTTTTGGCAGCTTTGTATCCTGAAAAAAAAAAAAAAAAAAAAAAAAAAAAGGAAGAAAAGAGCTTTCGTTGCCCAAGTATCAGCATTTTATCACATGGGTTTTGCACTCAGACATCTAGTCTGGCTGCAGCGTATCTGCTGTCAGTGCCTCAGGGCTGCAGAAAGTTTAGTAGCAGCGAATCCATCCAGATTCACGTGTGAGAGATTTGGGCCAGTGGAAGTGCTGGGAGCCTGTCCCAGTCGTCACCATACGTGGCTCCATTCCTGGCAACCACGAGTGCCCCTTGGCACGAGCTCGCCGGCTCCTGATCCTCTCCTGTGAGAGCCACAGAGATTTCCCTGCCTCTGGGGCCACGTACAGGAAGGGCTGGTAAGATTTGCTTGGAAGAAACTTGTTCAGCTCTCAGGAGAGGTCCTGCCTGGAGGGAAAGCACCTGAGGGGGCAGTTCTGCACGGCACTGCTTTGGCCACAYGCCTGGCCCTGGACAGCCAGGTCGCAGCTTCCCTGCGCCCTCCGCGCACTTTCCCTTCTCCATTTTTTTTCTCAAGAACATAGGTGGGTTCAGGGAGTTGATCTAACTGAACACTAGCCCAGTAAATTAGATGATTATTTTTTAGCTATCTTCTTAGCTATTTTTTGAGGAATGGAGGCAAGAGAGGAAAGGGAGGGAAGACCCAACAGGCAACCTGGATTTTGAGTTGCCCAAACTCTGAGAGAATCTCCCCTCATTTATTCAATTTCTTCTGCCTGTCTGCCACTCTTCTTTATTTCTTTCATCATTTTGTTCTTTCATTCTTTCTGAGTTAATAATTAGTAACTCCAGGACGGTAACTCCAGCATAAAGCAAAACGTGACTGTCTTTGCTAAGGCGGTTTCTGTCGTGCTTTGYTGCAGGTAACAACAAGTAGAGACATGGGATTCACTCAAGAACAACAGTCTGCAGCAGAAGTGAAGGCGAAAGTTAGGTTTTCCCACCTACCGCACAAAACAAGCCCAAGCAACAGAGATGAACTCCTAAGGCTGCTCCCTGCTAATAAGCCTAGCATCCAGCACGGCGGATTTTACCCTGCAGTCATCTGTGCTGGGCAGTAAATGAAACCTCTCCTTTCCCTTCAGGACACCTGTCTCCGAGGGAAGTGTCACTTATTAACTTTTCCTGCGGCATTTCCCAGGCTCAGTGTGCCCGCAGTGCCCCGGAGGCATTGCTGAGCGCTCGCCTTGACGGGTAAGCTCCGGCATCACCCACTCGGGCGAGGAGCAGCTCCTCATTCCCTAGGAGGAAAAGCAACTCTGCACCTTCGCAGTCTTGTGTGCTGACAAGTGAGCTCTTGCTACACYTTTTTTCCCACAAAACACACTGTCTGAAGCACGTTCCACATATTTTCCACTGGAAAGTATAAAGGAGACCCRCTTGCTCCCAGGCCAGTTTTAGTCATGCAGCAGAGCAGGAGAGCCTCGTCAGAGAGCTGCTCCCCCGGCCACCACCAGCCTCCTTGGCCTTGGCTGCTCCTCAGGGCTGGCTCCCGCTGCCATCGCCGTCTATCGAGCAGTGGAAAAGAGGCTCCTTCCTTTTACCTTCCCTCGCTCCCAAATTCACCTGACAAAGCAGCTCTGTACACTAACACGTTGGCTGAGACACCCACCGCATTGTTGATTTTATAAATAATAGCCGGCTTTGTAGCTTGCAATTTTGCCGCATGCCTAAGTAAGTAAGTAAGGTTTGCATCACTCTTGTTTTTTAAGAAGGTAAGCCTTAAGCCCATCAGTAAAAAAAAAAAAAAAAGAAGTTTTTAACTCTAGCCCTGGGGTTCAGAGTAAAATCTAATTAATTCATAACCATAACAAATTGGTGGCCTCTGCAGGGCCTGGAGACCGGAGCACTGGTTTAACATGTTTTCTGTTAGGATAGAAACCTGAACCTGCTCTGTTCAAAAGACAAGCTGAGCAAACAGACTTTTTCACTCCTCCGAAGTTGTTTTCCACTGGTGTTTTCCACAACRTGGTAGTAACATTCCCATGGACGAGGACGGGCCCAGTGATGGCAAACATCTGACTACATTTCCTTCCTGAGCCCCAGCACCGTGCCTTAGAAGCACAGAAAGATTCTGACTGAACTAAAAGAGATCCACCAGCCAAGCAGAGAAGGAGAAACATGAGGATATCTAAGGATATCTAAGGATTATAAACAGGTGCATAGGGAACATGAGTGCAAGTTCACATAGAGGCAAGCCAAAAACATTGATTATCTGGGGAGCAGAAAGGCTTGGGGGGGATGYCTATTTATCCAACAACCAGTCCTGTGCAGTAAGCACAAGGCAATACTTCTACCTCAAACTGTGAAAGAGGAAAAATTAAAGTATTTTGGAAAAAAAGCCCCTTGTYGCTTTCCTTTGCTTAGTTTTAGATTGTGAGTTTAATTTTACTGCTTGCAAGGAATACAATGAGGGGATTTATATATTTGCAAGAGGAAGATGGTATTCACTTGCACATTAATAAACACATTCCTGTATGATATATGCCTCCAAAACGCAGTATTCTTGCTTTAAGAAATTACCAACATTTTTAAGCAAGTTAAACCACTCACCTTCAATCAGTAAAGCTCTTTCTTCTCCCTCAGGCATACTGCTGCCAAGGTGTTAGCAGCCGCACAGCAGGGGAACCCAAACAAACTCCAGATTTGATTTTACATCCTATCCTGACACCTTTTGTTCCTAACAAGAGTGAATTGCATGTACCTCCGTACTGAAAAGACTGATATTAGACRGTCCTCCTGCTGTCAAATATTTAAGAGACTCAAAACGACTTAAGCTCTCTTCCTCCTACATAYGTCTGCAAGTCATCTCTGGGAAAGACATTTCCGTGCAATGTGAACACGTCTAATGAAATATATGCCCATGTATACGTCTTCAGAGTTGAAGGCTTAAGCAGCTCCCTGACTGAAAAGCTGCTATAAATAATACACTCATTTACTTCGGAAGGAGCATGTTTATCTCACCAGAAAGCAGTGCCATGGGATTGAGYAGGCTCCCAGTATTCCTCCAGATTATTCTCACTTGGCCCTGGCCCAAAGCAGGTCTTGGATCCAGGAGGCCGGCAGCCCAGGGGAAGGCCAGAACAGTCCCTCCTGGCAATGCATTTGCTGCACACAGTTGTGTTTCTGCACAGTGAGTGATTGGTAGCTCGCCTTCCATGAAGCAGGGTGATAACGTTTTGATGGGAAAAGCGGGCCTTGGTCCTGTACCTGGTGGGTTCATTACGCTCCAGCATGAGCATGTGAGGGGAGGGGAGGGTGGACGTTAACCATTTTGGGTCACTCTGTCTTGAAAAGGCAGGGAAGAGGCAGGCGCTGGCATCCAGAACCACTGCACACAGGAAAAGCTACCCTGCAATCGGTGCTCTATGAGCAAGGCTCGGTGTCTTACCAGCTTGGGCTGATTGAAACCATGAGCTTTTAAGCTTTATCACTAGTGAACAAACCAAAGGCCATCATCCTCTTGGACAGGGGCTGTTCAGCACACCAGATGTGGAGAGTGTGCATCCGTCCCATGCTAAAACACCCTTATCACAGGCAGGGATCCCAGAGCGAGCAACATTCAGTGTCTCAACAGGACAGCCTGGAGCTCTGCTACCAACATGAAATCCTCCATGACTCTTCTACCAAGCTCGCTCTCTCTCCCCTCTTTCCTCCTTGATATATTAGGCACAGCCTGCTGTGCAGGGCAGATTTGTGCATAGCTCTTCCTAGGGAATTGCTGACAGACCCGCTTACTGGCATGCTGGAGACTTAAGAGTTTCACAAAAACCCGACCCCGTCCTTTGGCAGTTGTGCAGTAAGGGATTTTGTGGAAAAGACAGAGTGATGTCAAGTGCAAAAGTATGAAACCAACCATCAGTTACTTACAGGATTTGTGAACTTCAATATTCTGGAACTTGCTTTTTTTTTTTTTTAACCTGCTCATTTACAGAACAAACACAAAAATCAACACCTCCAGCAAGAGATGCCAAATCATGTACTCTGTTTTGCTGAATAAATTTGAAACATATTTTTTTAGACAGAAGAGATGGGACAAAATCAGTTTCTTACCATGGTTCCTGAACTGCTCCCTAATGACCATTTAATTTGGAAAATCCTCTTTAAGTGACCCACGGCCAGCCCATTGATGCCACTGGATTCTGCATACAAATACATCCCCAAAAGCCCTTACAACATCACACTGCCTTCAGCTTGCACCTGAAGAAGCAGAGCAATCTTCTCCTCAATGCATAACCTGAAACAGACAGTATATTTTTGGATCTATCAAACACGATCATTACAGGCTTGGTGCCAAGCCTCTTGAGAACACTAGGAAAAGACTTCAATCAATTCTGGAGATCTTCAGATCGTTTTCTTTAAGAAACAGATTTTTTAAAAGGTAAGAGGAGGAAGAAACGCTGTGTAAAAATATTATCTATCAATAACAGAACTGCTCGAATTGGAATCACAAGGCTGCTCACCAGTCTGCATGGAGTGCTAAATTTAGCCAAGATGGGAGTAATCCCAGTGATCTGGAGTCATTAACTGCAAAGGTGCAGAGGACACGGCTGACTGCCCAGTGCTGTCATGTCCGTGTCACTTATTACAGGTGAGATGTACCTGGTTGTCTCAAATCTAGGTGTCTCACCTCACCTGGCCAGCTCTGTTCCCTCMCTCATCAGTGGGAATGGCTATGTGCTGCTGAGGTCTGAACTCCTGTTTTAGACCTCTGTTTTAAGGCAGGGAGAGGTGCAGGTGACTCTCTGTCTCCACTGGAGGCAAAGAGGGCTTGGATGATGAGCTGAGACTTGACACGCAACTTGCAAAGGGCCAATACCAAGCAAAGGGAAAACTCGTCCTGCAGCAACCACTGCTTTCTAGCTCTCACAGCTCATGGGCAAGTCAGCTGCTAGACTCCAAGGACCAGCCTTTGCTGGGTGAAGGTAAAGTGCTGGGATCCTCTTGCCAAGTCTCGCCACACTTCCATCGGTTGTTCTTACACTTAGATATGTCTCGCTGGGCAGTGACCTGGCAAACAAAGTAAGCACTCCATGGCAATCTCGTTTAAAAAGTACATATATTTAATAATGATAACAAATACATTTCCCCCCTGGAATTTACACTACTGTATTTCAGTAAGCCCCTTATATGGTCACTGCAGTTTCGCTGTACATAGCTGCTGCCTAAGTGGGATACATGTTTATGGTTTAGCAGTGTARTACTCATATATTCTCTATAAATATAATAAAAGATTTAACATTTCTGTTTTCTCTCTGACTCTTATACAAAAAAAAAAAAAAAAAATACATGTCTCTTTCCTGCCTCCCCCAACCTTTTAGTGGGTTTCAAATAAACCTGAGTTTGTAGTTCAAGTCAGTACCTGCCATCTATTCAAGTCTGATGCATGCACGGTATTTCAGGTGTCCTCACTCACTAGCTTGTCAATGCAAACATGTTCTTAGCGTGAACAAAAAGAAACATTTTCATGTTGTCACACAAAAGGAAGAGCTAGAATGGACCTCTGAGATACACAGGTGTTCTGTACAAACAGAAAATGACATTTTTCAAACCTCCATCCTTTAATATACTGGGATTTTACAGGTATTTAACCTTATTGGGGGCTTACCAGCCCCAGGAGCAGGTATTCTCACTACACTGAAGAGTGCAATAAGAAGCACACAAACTCCTCCACACTGAACCACCTACCAGCTTGAGTGCTGGTGGTCCCAGCTGTAGGGATGAGCTGGGCCCTCTCCGGGGCATCCGGTCCAGCTCCTCTGCTGCTTCTGGCAGCAAGCAGTCAAAATTAGCTATCTGGTCTGTCAGTATTTCGATTATCCTGCAATTTATTTCTCATAACTTGCAGCAAAAGGCCCTTTTTTAAACTGGGAGTCAGGAGAAACACCCTGAAGTACGGGCTCTAGGTGCCTTTCACCTACCTGTGCTAGCGTTCTTCCTCCCCTAATCTTTGTAAATCATTAAATCGCAAGAGGGCTTTTTGAGTGGGGAAATTCTTAGTATTTGAACAGAAAACACAGCAATGGAGCCGCAAAATTATTTTCAATAATACAGATAGAAATAGGACTTGGATTCCTACAGATGATCTTGACGCAAAAGATCAGAGGCACAGATCTTTGCCTCTGCTGCCTCATTTTCTGAAATGACATTAAGTGGTGGGCTGTAATAAAATATATGTGGCCAAGGGCAACCCACTTGGAAAACACATTAGTTGAAGCATCATCGAGATGTCCCATGTACACAAACACATACGCAAGCACAACACGGACAAACACAAAGCGAAGTCTTTGGCTAAACCTTCTAATTTATAAGAAACAGTTTAAACACAAAAAAGAGAACCAAAAAATGTCACCGGCTTCTCAGATGWATGATTTACGTAGAAAACCAAGACCAATATGCAGAACATGTTGCCTTTTAAGAAAGTCAATATTCACAGCTCGTATCAATACTTAATTTTTTGGTAACCACTGCATTACCATCCTTGCAGTATAAAATGGCATTGGTACTGCTTCACATGTCCTTTATGAGTCTTTTTAATTCACTGCAGTCTCTCAGAAAAGCCTTCAAGTATGTCCAATGCTGTTTTGCTATAACAGGGGCTAAGACAATCCTGCATGTGAGAGTGCCATGGAACTAGTACAGCTACAAAAATTGGAGGTGACTGGATCATTTAAACACAGCATATTGCAATCTGGATTACTGTCTAAAGCATCCACTTGTAAATCCAATATATATGAAAAGGGACGGGCTCTCAGTGGGGTAGATTTCCATTTGATGAAATTTATTTTTAAGTAATAATATTTCCTTTGAGTCACAGCACTTATTCTATTATCATTTTAAGAAAAAAAAATGATTCTACTGTTAGCTGCTTTTGTGTAATTAACACTAAGATCTGCTTTGACTTTGAATACTCCCACTTTCTCTGAACGTCTTGGGCACCCGTGTCCCTATTCGGGCTTCCACAAACTTTGTTTTCCTTCTCGGAAGCACTTGTAGCAAGCTGAGTTTGGAAAGGGTTTTCTGAGTTCCTCCACCTCTTGAGCCAAATGAGCGCCTGTGTCAGTACCATCCACTGTAGGGCACAGACAGATGGAGCAAGGCCAGTCTTACCACAGGCCCTGGATGGGACCAGCATCCATGGCACCACGTGCATCACATCATTGCTCATTCAAGCTGCTAACACTTGCTGTTCTTCCAGTGAACYTTATTGCAATACTACTTCAGAGCACGGAAAACACATATCCATGTAGCTCTTTCAAGACCTGTTTCACTGTACAGTCAAACGCCAAATGCTAATATTCCTTAAAAGCACAAGCAGGGCCCTCTTCTAACAACTTGAACATGTAGGCCAAACCCTTCCTTACATGTGGACCGCGGATTTTCTAAGCTGCACCACTGCAGGTCTCTCATGCAGTGACAGCAACGTGCCTGTGGCCTTCCCTTCTCCTTCAAAGCAGAAAAGGTGCCAGGGAGCAGCAGCACGAGGCCTGGCACGTCGGGTCAGCACTGGCCGTTGATGGCCTCCGCGGCGCCAAAGGAGATCTGCGTGGGGCTCATCTGCTGCAGCGGCGGCATCCGGGCTTCCAGCGGCTTGTCGCTGGCCGACTGCATGTTCTGGTTCCTCTTGCGCAGCATCTGTCCGATGCCCATCATGGGGAACCGGCCACGGCTTTTAACACAGTTGGGGCTGCCCAGGGGGTTGTTGGGGACCAGCTGAGTGGGGGACACAGCCTCGTCTCTCGCCGGATTTGCCTTCTCGTCATACGTAAAGGAGACCTGGGTGGGATGGATGGGGCTTCTGGCAGGGGATGTACTTCCTGGCTGGAAAAGTGGGGACAGTGTCCTTTCACTTGAGCTTTTGTAAGGAAAATTTATTGGYGAGCCTAAAATGCGGTACTGATGCGAGGGGGAAACTTGGTCTATTTGGTCCTCTCTGTCAACAGATTCGAAAGAATGAACAATATTGAGGATCAGAGGAGAGTCCTTCCCTTGGCTGCCAATCCTCGCGGGCTCTTGCTGTGGGGAATCCTGTCTCTTGAGGAGCCGGGGTGTTCGTGGAAGCGGTTGCTGGATTTCGAGATATTCCAGGGAACTGGAAGTGACGCAGCCCGTCTTGGTTGCCRCAGGTTCGTGGAAAGGGCTCAACCCACTCGTGGAGTCTACAACAGAAAACCAGGAGTCAGGAGCACAAATGACTTCTCTGATTCATGGCAGACAGTACCCGAGCTCACCTGCCACCAAGCAGGACAAATGTGCCAGCGAAAGCAAATCTCAGGTCTTAACGATACACACGGCACAGRGCTTAAGAACCTGATTCCCCAGCTCATATCCAATATTTACATAATAATTTCATGGATAATTTATCTGCCACTTCCCTCAATGGCAGGAGGAGTAAGACAAGAACACGAAACAGAAAACCGCAGATGTCTTCAGCTGTTTGCATTAATTAAATGCTCCTGGGCAACATCTGAGAAATCTGACAGTTCTCCCTTTTTATCACAGCTTTGCACGGTTTTAACTGGATCTGCATAATTTATTCACTGCCATACCTATAGACATAAGGGGCAACAGTGAGTTAATTCCTAATGCCTTTACTTGCATTTTGGAACAAAATCTGTTCTTAGTTTCACACATGTAAATATGGAGTAACTGCATTGGCCAGATTCAGGCTGTTATAGTTGGAACAGATTTGCTGCGTTGCCTTCGGTGGGAATTTTCCCCAGCAAGGACTGAACATAAAYGGAACAGTCTTTCCAGGATTTGGACCAATAATAGAAAACAGCTCACGAAGAAGATCCACTCCGTTCCTGCAGAATGTTGGCACTCATTTTTGCCAAGCTAGTTGCAAGAAAAAACACATTTTGCAGTGTTTATGAAAAACAATCCAAAGAGACTAATTTGCTACGGTCTCCTTTGGAAATCTTCTTCCCAACTGGAAAGARTGGACTGGCTGTTAATCACTGTCCATGAGTTTCTCCAGTCTTAGACTTTCTAATATAGATCCAAAATAATTTAGGTCTGCCAGACCTCAGGGTACAGCCACAAATCTCACAGGCATTTCTTTAGGATTTTTGAAAGGGATGGGCTTGGCAGGGGTTGAGCCCTGAATGGAAGTATGGCATGAAATCACATAGGTTGAGAGTTGTTTGGGAGAGGCAGTCCAGGTTTCATCTGACTCGTTTCTTTCTAAAACTGGTCAAAATGATTTGACTGGTTGATTTGATATATGTCAAAGCACTGTTTCAATAAGCAGAAAAATGCTTCTGCTGAGCTCTGAATTATTTTCAGGTTTCATTTCAAAAAGCAGGGAGAAACCTACAGTGACAAAAAAATGAATGCGGTTATTTCTCCCTGTGCTCTCTCCTGTCAATAAGTAACAAACTCTGAACGTGATTTTTTTTTTTTAAATATTTTTTTTTTCTGCAAAGGTATGTCCCATCTCTGACCAGTTCTATGGTCTACTACTGCCCTACAGCAGAGGTGCCTGCACTGCCAGATGAACACCGGTTTGACATGTTTTCATGCTGAACATGTCAAATAATAAACCATCAAGCCGCGAGGAAGTACATGACAGCCACCATAAAACACAAGCCTAAATTACCTCCTTTTGGTTACCATATTTCCCCATAGTGATCTACGGTTACCTTCCTCACCTTGTACCATCATTTAGGAGCCAGCGGCCTCACCTTCTGCCTCTTCTACATCTCCTGCCTACATATGCAGTACTACATTCTATCCTGCATTAGTGTTTTTCTCTCCTTGAGCTGTCTCATATTTTCCTTTTCCTGCTGATGTTTTTCCTCCTTTTACTGTCTGAAACTCCCTGTGATCCCACTCATGTGTCCTTCTACCTGCCCCCTAATTCACTCAGGAGTCTCTGGATACCAGATCTCGCCTGCAGCTCAGCAACCTCTTTCCTTGAGCCCTGTTATTCCTCCCTTACCCCAACCTATTCGCTGGTAAAGAGAAGCTTCTCTATGAGCTTTGGTTTGTCAGCAAGCAACCCAGTACTGTTCTGGGGTGGGTGTTGATGCTTTCAAAGTGCCAATGTGAAGTACAGATGATTTTGTGTAAGTACATACAAAAAAGGAAAGAAGGCTTTTTTTTTTTAAATACTGTGGAATTTCTGTCATTTGACAAATAAAAATAGAAATAAAACTAAGGATTCATGACTGCTGAGCACTGTCATGGTCTCTTCAGGATGTTTTGCTCAACGTTTGGCTGCATTATTCCATCCTCTTTTACATACCACCTCCAGAGCAGACAGTAAGCACAATCACATGCCTATTTACTAACAAACACACAACACACAAGACTCTTACTAATGCCACATAGCCATGCAAACACATTCACCTGGGTGGATGCAGGCAGACAGATGCTGTGATATTTCTCTTACTAACCTTTCTCCGTACCTCCGGTCTTGGTGGTTTTTCGGTCCCTCAGCAGAGCCTTGGTGTTCTGTATCTGTGAGATAAGACAGGAAGAAGGCTGTCTATATGAAACTGGACTTTTCTCAGTTTTCTTTGGGGGTGGACGGTGAAGGATCTCCCCTTTCTTTTCTTGTTCTTTGAGTTTTTTGTCCTTTAAGTTGTAAAACAAACAAGAACAATTTGGTTTACTTCATGGAAGTTTAAATGACCCTAAAACCCCCAGAAACAATAAGCACACCACTTACTAAAGCCAAATTTAAAAAGATATATTTACAAGGAACTTATCCTGGCTAACTAAAATAACTAAATCTTCCATSTCACATTTTCCTCTGATCCCTGTCACATGATTTCATGGCTCCCATCTGCTCTGACGCAATGTCCAAGTTGTGTTCAGAAAGTTAAAAGAGGGAATGCTTTCTCTTCAAAGGCTATTTGTCCTAGGAGACCTTGCTGAAGCAAGCACACGCAGACTTRTGCTCCTTCGCATCTGAAATGTGCTTTTGCATTTAAGCATAGAAAAAGGTCTTTGATTTCCTCTTACTGCACTTCCTCGGACATTTAAAAAAGTGACTTGCAAAAGCTCTAGAAAAGTTTAAACTCTTTAAACATGAGGACGACAGCCTTTGTCTACAACCACAGGCTCTGGTTCCTCATACATGTTATGTTGTAACACTATGGGTACACCTCGAATGAATGCAAGCTGAGTATTAAACCCAGCTCTGGTAGTATTTTATGGTGTCTTTGCAAGAAGACTGCACAAGATGCAGGGAATAGAAGATCACTGCTGGACAACCCAAACCTTCAGTGAGCCCTGCGTGGCATAAGCCATGACGATGACATGGACATATGATGGTGGGATTGCAAATACGCACGTTCTAAAAAAAGTTTTATTTTCTAGCAGTGGCAGAGGAAAGAAATAGATATCGTGGRCCCAGATCTCTAAAGGGAATTCAATTCTTAAAGTATTGTTTTATGATGAAAATGTATTCTAGCATTTTTAAACATGAATCACTTGATTTTGTAAACCGCATAACACTTTATCTGTCACTGATTTCAGGGGGAGCCAAAAGTCTCATTTGAATTCTAAAAATAAAGCATCAAATGTGTGGCTCATATTTTGCTCCTGTTCAATGACTTCAAGAATCTCCCACCTTCCTTGGGCAAAACTGTGTGGTCTGCTTTTAGACACAGCTATGCTGAATCACCAGGAAGTGGGGGGTTTGTTTTGATTGCTTTGGTGCTGCTTTTCTTAGAGGGGCATCTATGTGACATTCTTTTTGTCACTGCTATTCTCAGTTGAGCAACATGTTTTGTTATATGTCTTAATCAAAAAGTCAATGTAACTGCAAGGCTTAAAAAAAAAGAAAAGTAGAGTTCCTTCCTCCAGCTCTGCAGTGAGGCCTGTATTTTGTCCAAAATTTGCAAACTGACATAAGTCTAGTTATTTTGACCATTTTCTTTCAAAAGAAAACCTATCAACAGCTATCAAAAGCAAAGTAATGTGTATACATGTAGAGGAGGGACGGGAAGAAGTAGAAGACAATTCAATTTCTCCTGAGCCACTAAACAGCTCTGGCAACATATTAAGATACATAAAAGGAAAATAACAGGCCAGCACTGACTTAAAGCATTCCCAGAGCTCAGACAGAGTGTGGTGGCCTGCACAGACTGTGCCAGTCACTGCTGGGCTTGAATTTTCAGAAGTAACATAGTCAGAAGGCAGAGCTCCAGCGAACCCCAACGCTGAAGAAATTACAGCAGTACAACCACACCAGCATTACTACTAATAATGCTGTGAGCGTTACAGGCCAGGATGATGATAAAGCCGGTGRGAGCTGCATGCTTAATTCCAAACTCACAGTACTACTTTATTTCTCCCAAGGCACAGAAACTCTGCTGCCACGTTCAGCAGAGGGTGGGCTCTACCAAGCGTATYTTTTTGCAGGTACTTGTAAGGAGGAGACCAAGTCCTGAATGTATGAAGCCTAAGGGAGYCAAACTAAAGAAAAAAAAAGTTAACCGTTTTCTGCTATTTTGGATAGACAAGGAATTTGCATTTCGGTTGCTGCAGCATCTGTCAGAACCCAGCACATTTCAGGGCTGCAGTATTTTTAGCCTAATGGTGCAAGGGCCAGGCCAGATCTCGGCAGCTCTGCTCGGGGCCGCACGCCACATGCCCCGGCTTGGCTTTCGCACAGCTGTAACGCTTTATTAGCAGCAGCAACACACTCATATTGTACAGATTAAAGCAGCCATGAAAAAGAAAACTCACATATCCTGTATTAGCAGTGAATTATGTTACCCTGGACGGATGTTGTAAATGCCCTTTTAATTATTTAGATTTACTAAGGTTGTTTCTCTTTGGAGATAAACGCGGGTGGGGAAACGAGCAAAACCCTGAGCTCCCAAGGTGCCAAAGCGRTTCCATTCCAAGAGGGGAAGGCAGGATTCCCCTGGGGCAGCGACAGGGAAGCCCACCCTTGGGTGCGCGGCGCATGCGCTGCCCGGTCGCGTCCCGCGCGCGGGCACACAATGCTGCCTTGTCCCGCTCGGGAAGCCGCGCTCGGGCAGCGCTGCCGCTGCGTCACCCCTGCTGTTTCYTGCCCTGACCTCGACCCTGTGATCCCTGCGTCTGGATGGAGATAGCCAGGATTGACGTTGGCCAGGTCTGGTGCTGGCGTGGGACCGCGGCACAAGCTATTAAAGCTACAAAGCCCTGGGGCCTTGACCACTCAGCGTGTCCCCTGCCCACAGGGTGGGATCGTGGTCAGCGTGTCCCCTGCCCACGGGGTGGGATGGTGGCCAGGGTGTCCCCTGCCCGAGGGGTGGGATYGTGGTCAGTGCGTGCCCTGCCCGCGGGGTGGGATTGTGGTCAGCGTRTCCCCTGCCCAYGGGGTGGGATGGTGGCCAGSGTGTCCCCTGCCCGYGGGGTGGGAAGGTGGCCAGCGCRTGCCCTGCCCGCGGCGGCGCTCCGGGAGCCGTCGCTGCTGCCGTGCTTCATGTCGCCGGCATCGCGGGCGGCCGTTCCGTGGATCCCGGCCAGCTCTCGCCGAGGCGTTTCCATGGCAATGTGCAGCTACCCGGTCCTCGCGCTTCACGGAGGGACCAGGACTCCCCAGATCAGCCTGGGAGCTGCGGGTGACGGGATGACCCAACCTCCAGCACACGAGTCTGCCTTAGCTGAGCCCCAGCAGATCCCCGCGGCATCGCATGGAGGCTGCGCTCCCGGCCACGTGAGGGTATTTTGGGAGAAGCGTCTGCCCATCTTGCAAACTGCGACAGCCTCTCAGGGGCTCCGCTCACCCAGGTGTGCTGCCTTAACTGTCCTCACGTAGCAACGGGTGCACAATTCTCTTGTGTAAATACAGCTACCATGATATAATTATGCTTTCTACTGAGCTATGCCCATGCAGAAAGAGAATATACTGTAGTATTATCACAGTGTCTGCACTAGGATTACACCAAGGTAACTATTTTGAGAAAAAAATAACGCCCCCTCAAGCTCTAAATAGCTACACTGGAACTAATTCTGAGTGCAGAACAGGCTTTGGAAGCAACCTTTATCTCCTTGTATGCATACAAATAAAACAGAGGTCAGACAGTGGTGCTATCATTAGTTTTTAATTATCCATACAAAAGCCAGACAGTTCTCTCCTAGGGGCGCAGGGATTTCAGGCAGAGCACCAAAACGAGCCACGTGCGTCTCTTTGGGCTGCAGAAAGGCAGATCTTGCACAGGTGTGCAAGTGCCTTACTGCAGGCTCCCTGACACGTGGCACATATGCAGAAAAAAAAGCCAAAATGCCATTCTGCACAGGCACGTGGCCCTTGCTGCCTGCTCTGAGCCATTGCACCCGCAGCAGGAASGATCTGAGCTAGCGAGCACCGTGGCATTAACCCAGGGCACCTGCACGCGTTTGGAGGGGCAGGCTGCGCTGCAATTGCTTGAAGGCACCTGCCAAAGAGCCTTTTGAAACGCTATATTCATTGAGTATGCCCACTGCTGATGCATTTTAAGTACGGCGTTTTTGATTTATGTAAGTAAAGCATGATAAGCACTTTGCTGTGATACTTACGTCTGGCTTGCAACTCAGCTTCGTTATTAAATTTGCAAGCGGTCTTTAAAATAAACAGAACTTGCCATAAAATCTATCTGCCCCTGCAATTCTTGTCTGAGAAGTAAATTTTAAGGATACCGTTCGTGGTTGTGATCATCAGTCTAACATTGAAGAGGAGCTTCTGAAATAGGCACACTTTGCAGGAATCCTGTTATTTGTGTTGCAACTGTTAGATAAGACTTGCAGGCACAAACTACCTGTCTGGTTTTAGTGCCTGGCAGAGTGAAAACAGGAGAAAAACACAGACATTGAAAAATGTCTATAATCTAGTAAGTGTGCCTTTAGAATAAACTACCTTCTTTATCTGCAGGCAGAACAACTGGAGACAGCCAGAGAAAAAGTAAATTCTTTGCTGTGATTCAGGGAAGTTTCTCCCAAGGCAGTGAGCTAATTCCATACTAGTTCTGCCAAGAAGCAAAATATTAAGCTGGACAGAGTTTTGTGCTGATATGCCCTGACCCAACAGGGTCTTCAGTTAGCTGTGGCCTTCTTGCAACACTGCCAATTTGTGCCTCAAAATGAAAGTTAGGAGCCATCTAAAGAAGTGTACGGATTTTGCTAAGCAGAGCATCTAAAAGGCATTTTTATGTTCTTCACGGGAGCTGAAAGTCACCTTTAAATTTATACTCTAGGTGTTTGCCTTTCTCTTCTTCAAAAGAAAATCGAGGTGATTATTTATCCTGTATGGGCAAGGCATCATCCAATTCTTTTTAATGATGGCACCCAAGCCAACTTGGCACAGTTTGGAACAAATAACTGGATTGYTTTCTTGTAAAGCAAGCCTCACAATATTTCTGGCCTTGGAACAATTTCTGGTTTCTCCACAGGTCCAGAAAYCCATTTTCTTAACCACCATACTGGGGATGCTCAAATTCAGTCTGTTTTCAAAATACTTGAACAAGTTTTAATGAGCTTTACCTCATAGGAGTCTTTATTTGCCTTGTATTTTTCTATCTGGTACAGTTGATTCTTGTGGCAAATATTGTCCTGGCCTTCAGACTTCTGCATAGAGAGAAGCAGAGACAACAAAAGCACATAAGATAATTAGCAAAAACTAATGTTCAACTACTGTTTAATGGACCACATCCACTGCTGGCATTCAGTGGAGTTGCATCAACTTACAGACAGGGTGAATTTAGTCCATTACATTTTAATATCATTAATGGCATCATCACTAAAACATGCTTTTTGAAAGATATGAGAGGAAAAAAAAGAAAAAAAAAGGAAAGCTACTAAGCTGTTAGAGAATGCCTCTGAGGGATAATTTCTGTAAGAAACAAATATGTTAAAAAGAAAATTCCATATAGCCCACGTTGCTGCCTACATAATCACAGAGAAAACTACAGACTGTGGCCATTCAGTTCTTCTCCCCAGGCCATAGATAGTCAGCTGGGTGGAGAGACCAAGGGAAGACAGTGCTGCTTCTCTTTCTGCCCTTTGCCCACCACAACATTTGAATAAGTAGCATTAGCCATACTCTGTGGCCAGGGAGAGCCACAGGAGATCAACAGAGTCCATATTGCCATTATTTCTCACGAACAGCCTTCCTTGAAATTTTCATTTAAAAAAAACTCCAAAATCTCAGTAGCCATTAGCCTTCCTCTTAATTTCCTGAAGCAAATCACACTGTGCTACAGCTCTCTCCAGCAGCAGAACTATCTTGATGTACTGACACAGCGCACTGCAATCGCCAGTAAGGCTCTGCATGGCAACTGTTGGCTTTCCATAAGGGAATACGAAGATGCTAAGCCGGGGGGCRTCTTCTATGCAAATGCAGACTCCTGAGACTTAGAGACAATTATCTCTGCAGCCTGGGGAATTCCTCTCTGAAAAAAAAACGTTATTAGTGTGCAAGGAATATTCCCCTTTCACAGTTATTATTACAAAATGAGAAAATCTCAGGTTAAGCCTTGAGATCAAACATTAGTACAAAGGAAAACTTGTAGCATTTTTTTTTAATTCCCTCATTCCCTGTCTGTCCAAGGAATGGTCTCGAGGCAGAGCTTACCCTTAGGCTTGCCAAGTAGCGCTCCAGCTTCTTATTCAGCAGAAAGTAGATGGCGAGTGTGTGGCTCGCACGGTTGGAGAGCACCGTGTTGATTACGTCGCTGTTCTTGTAGCCGAGCTTCTCGGTCATATGGAGCAGCACGCTCTGGCTGAGGTCCTCCAGGTGGATCCTGCACGAGGGAGAGAGGCAGAGGTGGGCACGGTCCGCGGAAACCACTCGCCCTGCCGGGCTGGCCAGACGGGCGGCCTCTCTCGGCTGTCCTGCCACGTGGGGAGATGGCATCAGGGTGCTCGGGACGCCCAGCTCACCCTAGATGTGGCCAGTGAAGTCCTTCAAGAGTCTCCGTGTGGTTTTGAAGAAAAAGGGCTAAAATCCACCCCTGGCAGCTACGTTCACCTTTCTGAAATGTCCCTTTGCTTGTAAGCAAACACCAACGTGTTTCTGCCTTTACCTGCTACCCAATGTTCCTACACTAAGGAGCAAGGGAATTTCATCCCAGAGAAGAGAAATATAAAGGGACGGTTATTAAAGCAGCTCTGAAAATGTTGACACTGCTGCTATACATGTGTGTTACAAGCAGGAGCATAATGTTAAAAACAGATTTCCCAAAGAACTCTGCTCCTATCTAGCTATCCCAATGAGCTGGCCAGATTCTCACATGCACCCATCAACTCCCATTCATCACAAAAGAAGTGATGGGTTTTGTTTTGTTTAAGGATATTCCCTACTCTTAACATCTAGTCTAATATCTGGCTGAAACAACTCAGTGGAGCTTAGGTGACGTGGGTTTTTTTATAGCCTGCTGCTACCTTTCCCAGTTCTGCTCTGYTGTTCCACTGCTTTGCACACCTGCAACGCCAGGAATCCCTCGAGATCAGACCGGGTCTGATACTTGTATTTCTTTGGCTGTCCAGATGCTGTAAGGCCCAATGACCAAGATAAGTTTTGCTTATGAGCTTAAGGAAAAAAACCAAATCACACATTCCTTTTGTGAAGAGTGTTAATAAACATGCCAAAGAAGGGAAAACAACAGCTATTTGAGATTTCTTAGACTTTGTTTAAATGTTACCCATATCCTTCTTGTATCAGACCCCAACTTCTACCTGAAGTGCTCAGCAAAGTGAGAAATATTTACTTGCCTTTAGGGAATTTCTTTAATAAAAGCAAGCTTTTAGAAACCTTGGGAGAATATTTTCTTGAAAATGCAATTTTTTGTTTCCCCCTTATCTCCATTCTCTCCCCTTCCATACCTTGTTCCTGTCTCAGGAACAACAGACAGTACTGCCAAAATGACAGAAGAGGATTTAAGGAACAGAACAGAGTTTCTCATTTGTGTCATAAAAGCATCATTAAGAGACAGAATTATTCCTTACAAATTCAGTGGTGGGCTTTTCAGAACTACAAGGATCTACTCAGATTTATACTCCAAAAAAAAAAAAAACCTCAGAGAAACACTGCTGAAGCCAACTCAAGTGATGCTTCATGAGCCAAGCTCAAAAGGAGACAAGCCGTGGCCTCAAATATTTCAAACTGAAGGAGATTTTCCCTATCAATCTCCACTATGACAAATTATAGGCAGGTCAAGCTTGGGTCATAAGCCAATAAAACTGAAGAAACATCCAAAAAATGATAGAAAAGAATCTGCACAGCTTTTATCCTTTACAGGTTCACTAACTTCATCACAAAAAGTGGGTTCTGATATAAGGAGTGTCAAGATTTCTCTTGCTTTGATATCAAATAATGAGAAAAAGGAACTTTTTTTTTAATAGCAATGAGTAGCATTCTGCACTGATAGTCCCTTTAAAAGTGTTTTTATACGAAAGGCTTATTAGCACCACATATACACAAACATACCTGCATGAGCAAACACATGCCCCTTCCCTTTAGTTCAACGCTGTGTTTTCATCTGTTCTTACCTTCACCTTGCCTTTGGGAGCAAATGATTAATGGGCACTCCATAGCATTGCACAGCTATTCTATTTAATAGAGACCAGCCTCTCCTATAAGTCGCCTAGCTAACATGCTCCACTAACTCTCTGGATGCTTCCAATGCTATCTGACAAAAATCTGACAACTGCAACAACAACAAAAAAATAAAAATAGGCACAAAAAAGTACCTACGAATGCAAAAGAATTCTGAAATTACATTCAAGCCATGTTTCCTTTTTTCCTCCCTTTTCTGTAGATTAGATACATGCAGAAAGAGAATTATATTACCCATATAGCTCTCAGTTACACTTACATTCACTAAACAGATGCCATGTTTAGTAGATTGATTACGCTCATTATGACAGCAATTTCATTAGCTTAATGACTCATTCAGTTTACACATGTTTTCCCCTTCTTTACCATAAAATGTTCATGTGTACCATACTTTAGTACAGTCCAGTGCACCATGGAAACTCAGAAAATCCTTTTGTTGTAAAGCAGATTATGCAAATAAACTCAATTGCCCTTAAATTCAGGGCACTAACGTTGTGATAATAAGTCTTGCCTATTTGCAGCCTTACTCCTTGCAAAACAATTGCTCTGACAGACACCTTCATATTCTCTGCACGTCGTTCTGAGGACTGAATGCAGCTGGCTTCACATCTGCCCTCCTAAATTCAGTGGATGGCTTCTACAGATGCATCGCTCTGGACAAGAGGCATCCATGCTGCTCAAAATCCATCCAACCATATTCTGAGAGCTGGAGACTTGTTAAAGAGCAGCCTCTATAGAGCAGCCACTTCAGTAGTAAGGGGATGATGTTGGAGGTCCTTCCAGCCTCATAGAGCTTGCACCTACAGCACCTTATTCATAGTAAAAAATGTTGGCTACTAGCACATTTTTGTCCTCAAATGAATGCTGAAAGCACAAATAGAGCATGCCTACAGGACTGGCTGCTTCTGGGAAAAGATGACCGAGCTGGTGACCACCAAATCCTTTCTGAGTGGAAAACTTTGGTACAAATATTCAGCTAAGGTTCAGTCTTCACACCCTAGGCCTATGCTACATTAGACCTCTGGCACTTCAATAAACTATAAGGGAAAAGTCTCCTCTTAAGGACTTGCCTCTTAGTGAGGCAGGACAGAAATTTTGCATAGACAAACTTAGACTTTAAGTCACTGTCTTTTGTCTTAGATCTTGTCCTGCAGGCTAGTACCCCCAGCAATGAAAAAGTACTAGATTTGTGCTGAATATAGATGAAGGTCCCTGATAAAGGAAAGGGGTTTTATCTACTCAAATATAGAAGTATTTCTAAGTGAGTTGCTAGAGGCTTAATTTACAATCGTGWGAGAGAAACACCCTCTTGCAGAATCAAAAAGAGGTTTGATGAATCGCTCCTCAAAAGTGCCCTTATTTCTCTCTCAAAGCTCCAGTTGAGTGGTTCATGTGTGGACTCTATGCTGCAAATGTTTAAAGATAAGCAAGATTAATTCTGTGCAAAGTGGGCCACAAATATCTTCCTTTCTCACCAGATGTATGTTTGACTGGCCATGAGACTTGCTATCTGTTTGCATTTAGTCACCTCAGCACTGCACACGTATTCAAGCTCAAGAATCAACAAAGCAAGATCATTTAAACCTGGTCTTCCTAATCACTGTTTGCATAATATTTACCTAATCCACAGAACCTCAGATGTTTATCACAAACAGGCATTGTCTCCATGGGAAAAATAGGACAGCTCTATCAACAGTGAACGAAAAGATTAAAACTGATGACCTATTTGTAACACATGCCCATTCTAGGGTCTTGAGCCAATTAATCATATGATTTGCATTCAGGCCACCCTGCAAACACATCACATGCCATCTTCTAATCTAAAAAAAGCACTTTTGACCAATTCAGGAAACACACACTTGACAGACAACCCTAGCAACCTCCCATATTGCCTCCCAAAAGCAATGCCCAGGAATACGGTGGGACGTTGTCACACGAGCAGGGAAACAGGGAGCACCCGAGTCYCGAGTGCTTTAACGTGCTTAGACACTGCCAGGCTGTTCCGCCTTCTTTCTCCCATACCTGTTCGGATACGTGACGTTAGGTGGGGGTCTCCCAGGGTAATTCTCGTTAAGCCAGCGGTTTGCAAGCGCCTGCTGGATGTTGGGTCTCTTTGCCGGATCTGGCTCGAGCAGAGATCGCAGAAAGTTTACGGCCGCTGTGAAAACATTAAGGAAAGGAAACAACAGCAATGTCACATGCTTTAGGACTTAACACAGTAGTTGAGTTACTGCTCCCCTCTTACAGTTAGCTAACTGGGAATATAATAAGGAATTTTCTCCTTATGGTTCGCCGTCCTTGAGAAAGAGAGAAGTCRGACAAGGGATTAGTAAGGAAAATAAATATACAATGATATATAGAGCCATAAAAGAGAGGAGAAAAAGCATCTTTTGGTACAGAGCTTGTTTGAAGTTTCTGGGCAGGTTAGCCAAAATGTAATTCCTGCTTGTCTGAGGACAAGAAGGTGAGGTCACAAGCAAGTCACTCATCCTGTGTTTAAAGAAGAAGGAGATGAACTGGACATGAGTGGAGAGGATGGCAGGGATGCAGAGCTGGAAGGAATGACAAGGAGAATTGGGTTTGCTGTTCCCATTAACATTATAAGGACAAATTCTCTTCTGGCTTCCATCCAAACTACAATCAGCTGCAGAAGGCTTTAACCAAACCAAAAGAGCACAGCAAATTTAATAGGCTCTGTTCTGTTTTCAGATTCTGAACCTTCAACTTTCAATGACATTCAACAATCCCTCAGGGAGCTCTTGCAAAAAAATCTAAAAAATACTTTTCTGACATTAGTGAGTCATGTGCTTCTGCTATGGTCAGGAAAAAAGAAGTCAAGTGATTTGTTTAAATGCCCACAAGAAGTCAATATCTGAGCTGAAAATAAACGCTGTTTTAACAAGTTCTAGCCTTTATTAGTCAAATTATCAAGGATGGATTTACTTTACAAACTACAAGATAGTAAAGAATTATGTCCTCTGCACAATTCTCTGCAAAGACACTAAGTTCTAGGATAAACTAAAGCAGAATAATTTTGCAGAGGAGATGGATATGGTCAAGCAGGACGCCAAATGAATCCTGGATGGAGCCAACAGCAAGCAGAAGACAGAAGTGATGTCTACCGCACAATTTTCTCTAAGACAGATCGATCAAGATTTTGGAGAGTTTTTTCAATCTTATTCTGCATCAGAGCTACAGTCCTAGACACTTCTGAGCACGTTTCATCTGCCTGCTGAAGAAATCTGTATAGGAACCCAGTGCAGAAAGTGAGCATTGGCAGCACATGGCCACTGCTCTGCTCTGCACGTGGCACAAGACAGTTTCCCAAGTTACCTTAACTGAACTTCTAACTGAAGTGTTTGGACTCAATTAAGATGTATTTTAGATTAAATAGGAGCTTGGCTTGTGTATAAAAGCTTTGCTATAACTTCTTTGCTGATCAGGCATATGGAGTAATTTGCTCCTCTCACTGATAGAGCCTCAGGACTGGCACAGTTTGCCAAAAAGCTCTATTTTATCTATATCCATATAACTGGAAAACATATTAAATTCTATCTGCAAAAGATGGGGATTTTTTGGTGGGTTAAGCCACATTTTCTAGGTAAGCTGTGGTAGAGCCACACCAACAGTTACATCAGCTGATCTTGATAAGTGTAGACAAGACCATTAAATGTTTGCGATACAAAGAATACCAAACTAGAAGTGCTGTAATGCAATGAAATTATGAAATTATGAATTGGTTCTCCCACTCTGCTTTACAGACCTGTGGCCTCACTTGCACAACACTCCAGCCTGCCCTTTATTCTGAAGTAGAGTGGTGACATTTCACCAAAACAGCAGTGCAAACCCTTGCGAGCCCCCATCCCCATGCCCCATGCACGGGGAAAAACATGCCTGCCCAAAAGGCCATGATGTGTTCTTTGGAAAAGGGCATAAATGTTAACCAAGACACAGGGCCCTCACCTTCAAAAGATTCCCATCTACAAGACTAGGTGCTCTGTGTGCATGTGGGTTGTCTCCTCGAGCACTTTTGGCTCAGGAAGCCCTCATGAATCCGCTCCCACCTAAGGAAGCACCGCCACTACAGAGCACATAGGCACACAGGGAAGCGAGGGATTGTCCAATAAATCAGGATTAGACTCGATAGGTGCTGACTCCTCACAGCTTGTGTAACCWCTATGTTCAACATCCTGTAAAAATCAAGTCTCAGTCGGAAAGGCCCCTGAGAGACTATCCATTTCAGCGCAGGCCTACTGACAAGAAGTTTATAATTGGGAGAGAGAAGGAGAGAGTTATGATTATGTATTTACCAGGTCAGCTAGGCATGAGCTGGATTCCTTTTGTCTTCACAGATCACTGATTTATGTGAGATACTTCAGTTTAAATCTCTCCCAATATTTCTGTATTTTCACACAGCAGCGATATTGCAGGAGTAGCAGGAGGAGACAGCATCCAGGCCCATAAATCTCCTGCAAGTTGATGTTATGACTGTTCTACGAGTATCCTGAAAGCCCTCACATCACATTTCTTGGGAGCAGAGTCCTCCACACTGGAAACAACTAATCCACTGTCTGCTCATTTTAGTCCTCGTCTTTCCAGCATTTCCCTGCTGCTCTGTTACCAACTGCACACAACCCACCCAGTTTCTGAGCAAGTTCCTCCTTAGATCCCAACAGAGCAAAATTCTCCTTAAAAAATCGTTTTAGTTTTTTTCTTTTGCAAAAGGCAGACTAATTAAATGAAGCTTCTGAAGCACTATAAAGATCAACAGAAGAAGACTGGGAGAAATTAAATCCAGAGACAAGGGATCTCCAGGGCGGCTTGCTAGCTGGCAGGACCCGGGCAATGCGGCTGAGACTGGGAACAGCACCTTTGCTCATCTGAACTGCTAGGTAGCACAAGGAAGTGAGGAACTGTTTTGGTTAGCTGTGCAAAATTAATTCCCTAGGAAGCAACCACGAAGCTAACACATCGATTTTTGGACCCATTATATCCAAAGTCATTTTTCATGCTGAACCAAGTAGCTCCATGAGCAAAGGATCCTGTGAGCCGTCCCTGCAACACTCGGTTATGTAAGGCAATGTGATGAACTCAAGGACAGCACTAATCTGATTAGCCAGTGACCTGCACACGATGGAATTTTTGTTTCCAGGGTATAATTTGGGAGCAAAGTTTGCTCTCTGGACAATTGCAAGACCAGTTTCATGAGAAACAGAAATTCTCTTTAAACTTCCTTTAGTGTATTAAGCTCAGTAAGGAGCAGAAATAGAGAGAGAACTCGGAGCATGGGTTACAAGCCATCTTCAGCTTTCATTTTCCTTGCTGTGGACTAGAAAAACTTAGTGTTGTGTTTAGAGAATGCCACATGCAAGTGCGTGCCTGGTTGGGGTCAGCTATACAGTTCCTGCTTATAAAAAACAGACAGGTAAAATAATGTGAGACCATTTTACCTTATACAGCTACCAGTAAACTAACAAAATCCTTTCTCCAAACCATATGAGCGTGGATAAATGCTTGCCCACATTTCTAAAGAATTTAGGCCTTCCTCTGCTGGACCAGACTGCCTCTTTGCTCTTGTCAATGAAAACTTCTAGCCAAGGTGCAGTAACTTCTTAAGACCAACTTCACTGACTATAAGCAAACATTCTATATTTCACAGGCAGGATACAAGCCATCAGATGAACCATGTATTCCCAGAGTTTGAATGATCAATGTCTTAACTCTCATAAAAAGCAATGTTCTTTTTTTCTGCTTCAAAAGCACGAAATACATGCTCACACATGCTGTGGAGGATAGTAGGTGTAGTGCTTGATATGCTTTAAAAGGGGAATCACAAGGTTGTAAAGACTGAAGACGAAACGTGGGTTAATTTTATCTTTCAAACTATCTGCTATGACAGACATGGGATTCTGTAACATTAGAAAATACAACAAGCAGTCAGAAATCACAAAGCCTGCATAACAAAGAAACTATGAATCTACAAAACCAGCTCTTTAGAAGTATTCTTCTAGTCTTCACTTCGCTTCACTCCAAAAAGGAGAACTATAAACATACAGAAGCAATAAACTGAGAAACAAGGAATGCGTGCAAGGTTAATATCAACTTCCTTAACAACTGAACTCTGCTCACCTAAAATCAATATTAAGATATGTTTTGTAAAAGCTAATGAAAAATGGTTTCCTAAGTAAGAAAATCAAACACTAACCCCCATTTTTCTCTGTTGCTACACAGTTGCTTTTGGTGCTCATGGTTACCTAGGATTTTAACTAATACAAATAAAATACACTCTTGCTCAGTGATAGGAATGGCTACTTTCATGACAGAATTGTGTGTTTGGTAACTRTAAGATTAAATGCAGAAAGACAATATACTGAACAATCACAGTCTACTGCAAAAATTCTCTTCTCAAATCCCTAAGTGAATTTAAAAAAAAATAGAAAAGTAGACTGAAGTAAAAGATCTAAATACCTAAGGGTTAAATAGTATCAAAATTTGCAGAGTAGAGGMGTGTGGAGTTGCTATCTACTGACCCAAAGACTAACAGCAGCAAGAACAAATGTCATCTTAAATCACAGTTTGTCAAGTCAGTGAACGTGCAAGCCTGTTGACTTCAATCAAGAATGGATGCATACCTTTATTCACAGTGAGTAAAGGTTAACATGTTTAAATCTATTCCATTAATTTTCCATCTCTGACAGTTCAAACTGCTATACTTCTCACAGGAGAAACAAAATACTGTTTTCATTGGAGAGCATAATGTCAGTAAGCTATGAATTCTACAGAAATGCAACTGTGATAAAATCCAATCTCCATAATAAAATGCTGGGATGAATGAAAGAGTAGAAAGAAGTCTGTTGGCAGCAGTGACTACCTTTTTTTGCTACATAAAATTTAATCTTCCAAAAGCCTTTCGTGGGTGAGTCAACCTTTCTCACATCACTTATCCCAATAAAGTCAGTGAAGTCTCCTACTTAAAGACTACTGTGATTGAAAGCAAGCAATGATCAGGGAGACAGTCCATATTTTGAACACAGTGTATGGCTTATGTGTAGCATCTCTACTGGGAAAGTCTCACTGGTACAGGCCAATTTGGTACATTTTTTGGCAAACTTGGTATATTTTTRCTAGTGAGCCAAAGTCCCCAAATTCAAGAGGAGCTGCAATTGCTGCAGACTTTGGCACCTATGCCAGGACAGTRTGAAGCAGTCAATATAATCTTGCTCTTAATTTACTCAGTGGGGCTTTAGAGCATGTGCTAGAACATTAAAATGGCAACTTTGTGTAACTGAATCCTGAAGGCAATTCTCCAGAATGGAAATACCAAACAGTAATTTGTCAAACACATGGCAAGCCTTGCAGCATCCCAGCTCACTTGTAAAGCTATCGCTTCACAGCATGCCAGCAGCGTGAACTGCTGGCAGAAGGACTGGACTTCATGCAGATGCTGGGAGAATAAACAGCAGCACACTCCACTCGATCCACAGACAAGCTTTGTGAGAAAACCCTTAACTAGCTACTTTTTGCATACACAGGTAAAGCTGCACTGGGAGAATTCATCTTGAGACATAACTTTCACAGGCTTTTTGTTATACCTCATGGCAATGGTTGCTATCATCAGGATACTGAGTAAAAAGATATGCTCTTTCGCTCTTTTTTATTTTTGTAATGTTTTAAATTCATTGAATGTCCCTGGTTAACAGTCTGACAGATAAGGAGAATAGAAGCTCTCTATGAACATAAAATCTAGTTTACAAAAATAAAACCTAAGTATAAAACAGAGTTTGTTCCAAATACTGACACAATCTTGCTATAAGCTTAAAAATAATTCTGTTGCCTAGTGACATAGCTTTCAATGAGGAATTAATACAACTAGTATTAACACAAATAACTTCTCATTTTCTGAACACAAAAGGGTTCTTGTAGGTCGCTATCCCACAACAACCTTCTGTGTGTAACTGATTATTCCATAATAAATATGAGTTAATTCAAAGCAGCTTATCACTCAACTCAGATCATGACAAAATTATTTCAAAATAATGAGTTCATGCATCCAGACCCAATACTAAAATAAATGACCAAAATAATTTTAAAAACCCTTAAAACAGACCATTTCTGTGAAAGAGATTTTACAGATTTGTTCTTCTCTCATATCCATTACTACTTGGCACTTCTCCAACTTATGTTCAAAAGTCAAAGCAAAAGTTCTTACACGGCAGCTTTTGCAAATCTTTTGGAGACTAAACTGAAGAAGAACATTTCTTGCAATTAGCATTCTAGGTTGGTACCAAACCAGGTTTCAACACAGTGGTTGCTGCTGACAGAGTGCAAGCAGACCTGAGCACTCTCCCTCGATTACCTGTGGAGAGTTGAGTGGGAAACGGGTTCATTTCTTTGTCTACCATTTTCTGGTATAAAGCTCTCAGGCTGAACGGCTCCACAGTAAAAGGTAACGTTCCAGTCAACATTGCATACATGTTTACGCCACTGCRAGAGAACAGAGAGAAAACAAAAAGCAAAACACAGTATTTAGTTACTGTACTTTTTTCTGCTTTAAGGTTTGATACCTGTTACAAAAGGCCGAAGAAGCAGCCCTCCAAAACCTCCTTCCTGTTGCATTTCATAATTTGGGCAGGAATTCCCAGAAAATTGCTTATAGAGGTGCCAGTTCAATGGTCAAGGATTTTCACTGGCCTGTAGGGGCCCCAAAAAACTCAAAGCCTACTAGGTATAAACAATTATGTTTTTCAGAGCAGGAAAAAGACTACTTATAAAGACCCAGCAAAGCTAGGCATGACAAGTGACTTGAGTACTCTTGTTCTTTTTTCCTCCTAAAATGGCTTCAAATTCAATGGGGTGGAATTCCTCTCCTCTGAGAATTTGTTTCCCCAGTCTGCTGAATAAATGTATGTGAACAGAAAGGAAACTGAAGCAGCGCACTATTACAAACCATGATCATAGCAGCCATTTGTTCAACTACAAGAAAGGGGAGCAGTTAACCACATTTTTTTTTTCTTAGATAAAAAAGAAAGAACAGGATATTATTACTGGAAAAGGTTGAATGRCTTAGAAGGATGGCTGTGCTGTTTGTCTGCATTCCAGGCCCAGTAAGAGGGCCTGCGTCCCACAGGGCTGGTAACCTCATCCTTGATGTGGACAGATGACCCACTGTTGCAGGGAAAAATAAAGCAGCTCTATGATAATTTAGCTCTGGCTCTCTCCTCTGCACAGACTGCAGATTAGGCTTCAAAACACCAAGTTCTGAAGAGTCTTTAAGTATAAAAAGGCACCAGCGGATCAAACTGAGAGGTGAATTTGATGGAGGTTGTTAAACACATTTTACCATTTCTCCTTGTCTCATATATAATCTATGGCCAATTCTTCTTAGCCATAGTAACACTTACACAGTACTTTACATTTTCAAAGCACTATAAAAATTTTTAAYTCATAAATTATCACAGTTCCCAACAGGAATATAAATTTTATTATCCCCAGCTCACTCATGATGGAAAATCTATCAATTCTACCCCAAAAGCTAAAACTCAACTGAGTTTCAGACTTTGAGATCACATTGATCCTCCTTTGTTTGATTTTACTGCACTTTTACACAGTCAATTCCTATCCTAAATGCAGGACAGCTCCTTTCATTTCTCTGCATGTTCAGTTCATTTCTCTCCAGGAGAGAGAAAGACCACTGACACCTGGCTAGTTGGAGGGTGTCACAGTCTAAACTGTGCTACTGCTCAAATGCGCTGGCTCAAAACCATCTCTGCAACTTCCTCTACCTCTGAGACAAGGGACTCTTATCCACTCTTTTGTTTCAGCATTAAGCTCACAAAGGTCTGACCAAAAGTAGCCAAGTTTCCTGGCTACTTTTTCTTCCCCATTAATACTATGCTTTCAAAACTATGACCTGACTCCATTTCACTTTTCTTGTCAGACATACTGTGGAGCACATCCAGAGCCCATGCATGAKTTTAAGGTTCCTTCAGGGAAAACAAAGCAAGCTGTTTGCCCTCCTGTGCCAAAGCCCTGTCTTCTACTGCATCCAAAGCCTGACACACAGTGCGTGATGAACACTGCTCTCCAGCATCCCTCCACATCACCTGCTATTGCTCTGCATGCAGGCAGGCCAAGGTCTACTTCAAATCAAAATATATGGGCAATACAGTTCACAGCATTCATGCTAATTCAACAGCATGTTTTGCTTGTGGCAGCTAAACATCAGAATAATGTTTCTCATTCGAGCAATAGGCAAAGATGATGGTAATATTATGAAGAGAAGTCACTCACATGGACCAAACATCTATTTTCGGCCCATACTTTTTCCTTGCCAGAAGCTCAGGCGCTGCATATGCTGGGCTCCCACACTGGGTGCTGAACGGATCAGAATAACCCAAGATGCCTGCACAGTTGCTCAAGCCAAAGTCTGTGAAAGACACAGAGATACAGTTAGGAAACAGACAGATACAGTAAAAATGCACTAAAACACAAAGGAAAAGAGCAAGCTTTTGTTTTGCAAAAACAAAGCAATAAACTCCCTAAGAAATCATCCACATGGAAGAGCTTTATACAATTTGTTCCTTTGAGGTACCAAGTAATTAGACATTTCCACAAGTAATAAGCAAATCTTAAGAGCACGCATGATTATCAATTGCATAAATGATGCAGCCATATTTCACTGGGAATTGGATGACAACAGTTGAACTTGTCTGGTACGTTAGATGTTGTGTATAGGGCAGAGAGTAGCCTCAGGCTGCCTCAGATGGCTATACTGTTGCAGTATGTTGCCAAGTAGTTATGTGCTACATCTTCACCATTTTCCACTAAATTGTGTAAATTAACCATCACATTTAGGGGACTTGGGTCTGTCTGCTTCCTGGGACTGCTATGGTGATGCACAACACAGGGCTGCAGAGTCAGCATCGCAGCTCTGAAACGGCACAGGACAAACTCGGGGGAAGAAACAGAACGCGCTGATTTGGCTTCCCCTCCCTTCTCCTGTCTTGAATTATTGTATTTCCAGCCCCTGGGTGTATGCAATGGTCTTTGCTGGCAGTAGTAACAAAGGACCAGCAGAGCCTGGCAGGGAGAGCGAGCAGTGGCAAGGCGGCGGCTGTCGTTTCACAAGAGCCTTTGGCCATCCCAAGTGGCAGCTGGCGCCGGGAAGGGTGTTCCCACAGCCTGCCCTGTCTGCTCCAGAGCCAGCACAGCTGCAGGGTGAGCTGGCCTTAAGAAGGGATCTTCGCAAGTGAACCACCAAGCATGAAAAAGCCCTTTGGTGACGACAGCCATGGAGCTGCTTCCAGCTGGGTCTCACCAGCAAGAGAGGAGGCAGAGGGGCTTGAAAGTGAAGGCACCTTGGGTTGGACGTGGGGAAGCAAGGTGAATTTGCAAAGAGAKGGATGGTGTCGGTAAAGCTGGGGGCCAGTGAAAACTGATTCTGCAGCAGTGATTTATAGGTGCATTGTCGGGGCAGGATCACAGAACCACAGAACGCTTAAAGGTTGGAAGAGACCTCTAGAGATCCTGTAGTCCAACCCCCTGCTCCAGCAGGGACACCCAGAGCACGGCGCACAGGGCGGCATCCAGGTGGGTTTGGTAGATCTCCAGAGAAGGAGACTCCACAACCTCCCTGGGCAGCCCGTGCCAGAATGAATTTGTCAAGGCCACAGAGAGGTACCTCTTATGGGCCAAGCATGAGATGGCAAGAGCAAACTAACTGCTTGAGCTATGCAAATGGATAGGAAACTTGGATAGTGTTTTGCAGCAAGAATATGTGACACTCAGATACATCCAGAGGATTTAGAGAGATCACAAAGATGTTCTCATTTATTAACATCTCGTTATTGATAACATCTGCAACAACGTTTTTTTAATAACACCCACATCTTTGGTTTTTATTTTTTTTTAATTCAGTCTTGTTAAAAATTCCCAGAATGTTTGTACGCTTAAAATGGAACCCACCTTACCCATAAATAAAGCAGTTAGGAGAAGCCAACTACTGAGTCCTGCTTCCTGCAGACTCACATCTCGCACCCGAGTGCCTCTAACGCAGCAGCCCCTGCGTGTCTTCCAGCACTTACTTCCATGTTAAATGTAGCTGAAATCAGACAAGCCTCTCCCAAGGTACTAGGAGCACGCTGACAGGCAGACAGTGCATCCACCCAGGAATGTTCCCTCAGGATCAAACCGGGCTAGAGACGAGTAATGCTTGCACGGAACAAGACCAGCAAGAGGGCTGTGTGAACTGGAGTGCCCAAATGGCTGCACGCTGCCCTGGCCTGGCTGCCTGGCGCTCCGGGAGGAGGACAAGCACAGAGCCAATGTCCCTGGCATCCCAGCGGAACATCCGCAGGGGCTGGAAGGGCTTTGGCTGGAAAAYACTGTAAAGATCAAGGGAGGATCAGGACAATTTCCTTGCCGCTGATGGAGAGCAATTTGTTCAGGACACTGCTTAATCATCTCTGCTGGGTATGTCTTATCCCTGGGGCTTATTCAAAAACCTCTGAGGATCTGTTTTATTTATGTATTTACTGGCTATCATCTGAGATGTGTTATCTCAATGGAAAAATACCTTTCGAAATTCCTACTTCTACATGATTTTCACTTCATTCTCGTATCATCTCAAAACTACATAATTTTAATATACTGCTTTACAGCTAAAGTACAGAACGGCTATAATCTGAGCTGGCAGGAACCAGCATCTCTTCATCATTATTAATGCAATGAAGTATACTCTAGAGAAAACTTTCACTATCTCATTTGCTTCAACTGTAAACAGTTTATTCATTTATATCTAGCTTATTCACTTACTCTAAGCTATTACACCACTCTCCTTTTCACTAGCGCTTATTGAAATTAAGGATGAGCGTAAACACAGGGACTTTATGGCAAAAGAAAGGGGAATTTTCTTAACACTGTGCCAGCACATCATGGTTGCAGCGTGATTTTTATTAAGGATATATTTTTACCTTGGTAAGAATTGTAATGCTAGCATAGACAATATTATTGCCATTACTGTCTCTATCTTGGGCTTTTTTTTTCTTTTTTTTTTAACAAGCTCAGCTAACTACAGAATTCAGACCAAAGGCCAGCCTTGGTTTTCTAAAGTAAATATTATGATATGGAAACTCCACAGCCTCCAGTGTTCATACTGTCAAAGCATCACATTACATTACTGCTTTTTAATGGCTCCAGGAAATCAGCATTAAGCCATGGATATAAGGCAATATATGAAACTATCTATGGAACTCTTGATTGCTAGAATAAGGAAAGTTATCAAATAGCAAAACCCTTAGTGCAAAGCATGGGCTCGTGGAACAGTCTCACCTTTGGGAATGCCAGCAGAGCTACTTATACACCAAATAAGCTGGTGGCTGCTGGTTGGTGCTGGCTGGTGGTCCTTCAAGGGAAGGCCAAGAGCCKCCCATGGCCTGTGAGTGGCATCTGATTAATCCTCTGACACCTACCATCAAAAGCTGGCAGCTGAAGTGAACTGTTACCAACGCTTCCAGCTCAGGTATTCTCAGATCTGTGTCTTAACAAGCTGCTGAGAATGAGTGCACTTAGCACAGCAAAGGGAATGTTCCTGGTAGCAATATCTCAGCATGCATTGCAGACCATCTTATCACCTGGCTAGAGGAGCAATGACAGCAAGCTGGTGTTAAGCAGCTGGACAAAGAATGGGATTCCAGGAATCTAGTTCTCACTGAAATGCACAAGCAGGTAGGGACTTGCAATGTCACTTCATTTTATATTTCCGCTCTTCACCTTCTCCTTCTCTGCTCTGGCTTCTTTCTTTTTACATCTACAAGAAAAAATCGTTTCACTAGCTACTAGTGCRTTTGCTGCTGCTTGAGACACAGCAACAAAGCTCCCATCCCAAAGATATTAAGATGAGATCCTTCTGCAGTTGCTTTTATAGCTCTTTTCTTAAGCAAGAAATGCAGCACGTAACTCCACAAAACATTCTGGGCAAGACCACGCAAARGCCAACTGACCCAGTGCCTTTGTAAAAAGACAAACTAGAAAAAATATGTTGCTACATACTGGATGATCTGAGCAATGTGATGAAAAGGGAGGAGGAAGAGTAGTGAATTATCTGGTCTGCACAGCAGCCAGAGACAGATGCCACCTCCCAGGAAAGAGGTGCAGGTGAGGCAGGAGCGGGGCAGTGGCACCTTGCCCGAGGGAAGGTGCCTGGGGAGCCAGGGCCAGCTGGGCCATCCCCACTCCGGCTCTGGCCCCACGTGCAGCCAGATGAGAGCACGTGGGGAAGGGAGGAGAACCTCATCCCTCTGGGATGATCAGCTGCCAAAGCCACGGGGTTTGGGTCATCACATTGTGGCTTCTCTGCAAAATTAAATCAGAGGATTTCCTTAGGGGACAGGGGGATCTGAAACAACAGATTTACGCCAACTKTTGACAAAATGCAAGTGTTTGAGCCAACTCCGCTCCTCCACCTCTTTTTACTCCCAGTCAAATTATTGCTCATAAAGCTACCTTTCTCCTCCCATAACACATCCAGTCAGACAGTTGGATTACTGTTTTGAGACACATACAGTGTACAATTGCTTTGCTTAAAACGTTGGACTGCAGACCTGAGGACAATTTGTTTCCGCATTAGCTGGTCTATGGAAAAGCGACTGTCTCCTTCTCCCTTCTTCCCACACCACCCACTGCGAGGAGACCTTTCTATGTAACTGAAGCCAACAAGACTGTAGGAAGACTTCTGCATTTTATTTTTTTGGCACAAAAGTTTTAATTGTGCACGCATCATCTGATTAGATCTGGGCTTGGATGTGGATGTGGAGTTTGTGTAACAAACACCCCAAATGAGAAAGTTATAGAAATTCTTTACATTTATCAGATGTTCTTATCTGTTACAAACCATCTGGTCTCCCTTATCTGCTAAATCAAGATAATGGGTGGTATCCATCATTAGTGATGAATGATTCATATTAGTGGCCTCTTGACCCCGAACTGAGGTAATGCAACATTCTGTTTTGCTATTATTTTCCAAGAGCCATTTGATTCATTACTGAGAAATGACTGAAAATTATGGCAATTTTTCTCAAGACTGAATTCCCTAGGCAGATTTTGAATATTTTGAATTTCATTAACCATACCCTTCTTACTTGTCTGGAAATGTATGTGMTTTATACATTACAGTGACTGTCCACTTGACCTGAGTTTTGTTACTGTTTTTCATCACTTTTTAGATGATGAAATCTTTAGAAGAAAGAAAGTCAGTCTACTTTTTAAGCCTGAAACCACAGAAACTGCTGCTGGCAAAAGTGCAGGCATGGAAATAAACATAAACAGATTCCTCTTTTCTTATGTGGGATGTATTTTCTTTTCAATGCCCACATTAACATTAATGGGAGTTATGCAAACACAGCAAGATACTATACCCACAGATGATTCATTTAAAATATCTGCAAAACTTGAAAGAACTGAGCACTGCATACAACTGATTCCGGAATGTAATCAAGACTTTACCATTCATCTTTCATCTTATTTCTTTTTTAAAAGCAAACCTCTAAACCAATTCCTTTTTGGATTTTGGAAGCAAATGTAACGAATATAAATAGAGAACCGAATTTTGCCAGCTGCTATAAATGTGTGCAACTCCCACTGATTTCAACGGAAGCATATGCATAATGGGGGCAGAATTCATCCTTCACTAAATACGAAATTACCAAAGTAACAAAACAAATTACTTCCGTGGGGTCAACTCTTTAATCCTTCACAAATTTCCTGGTTTAAATAGGAGAAGTGTTGCTTAAAAGATGAAGGATTATGCCCATACCCAGTGAAAGCTGCATTATTTGGAACATTTTTTTCCACAAGATGCTGTCAGGAACAGCTTGATTGCTATCTATACTCTCCCAGCTCCTCTCTCTAGCAACATTAGCAGTTGTCACATGGAGGATTATGAAGTCTCAAAAATTCTCTTTATAAGACTACCAATTTCAATTACTGGAATTGCCAAACTGGTTTCATACCAATGAGTTTGATATTGTTGTCTTCATCTAGCAACAGATTTTCTATCTTCAAGTCTCTGAAAAAAATAAAWGATTTTGAGTCAGCCTCTGAAACGATGAAGCAACTTCCTGTCACTCTCGTCAGTTTATTTACAAGGTTCATATATAACACAGCACACATGGTTCTTCATTCAAAGCCCACCCCCCTACACTGTCTCCTCTCCAAGGCTTTCATGCACAGCTTCACAGCAGTTTTTCATGCACAAAATGAATTTCCAATCATTTGTGAGTAAGCCTCATAATCAGTCAGCCTCTTCGAATTATGCACGTAGTTAAAAGTTTGCAGAAATCTTATACGCAGGAAGCATTTCAAATACATGCTCTTAGAATTGGAGGTAATTTTTGTATTACTCTTCATAACCAGAGTCTTTTGTTTGGCTGCAGCTGGAGAGCAAGTGCTCTTCTGCAGAGGTCTGAGAAGACAAACGCCTGTTCTCTTCCACTGCCTGCAAGGGGACAGATCAGCCTCCCCTCTGGCATGAGATGTCCAGCCTCTTCTCAAGAGGTGGCCAGGACTAGTATTTCATACTCCAGAGGTGAAAGCTGAGGCACAGAAATTGAAATGATTTGCCCAATGCCACCCAGCGAGCTTGTGACAGAGCTGAGAGAAGCCACACAGCTTTTAAGTCTCATATAGGTTTTTTTTCCACAGTAGTGCTCTGCTGCTTCTCGGGGTCTGACTTCGACAGAGCCACTTAATGGATCAGGGCCATGAAGTTTTGGGAGACCAATTTTCGGGGGAGTGAGGATAAAACGAAAGCAGTTGCCTTCTACGAGAAGAAAGACCCTTCTTCTGAAACACACTTGAGCACTTCCTTCACCCCGTACTTCATTATACACTTTATCTCCTTCTGCCACTTAAGAGGGTGGTAGCGCTTCCCTAAATCATGATTGAGGTAAGAAAAAAATTGCAGAGTTCACCTCCTTCCCCCAGAAAAAGCCAACACCTACAGACTAAGCTTTAAATACAGTATGAACATYAGTTAGATCACTACACAAGTTGCCTGTGAATTCTGGTGATTGGTTATGCCTTCTTTACCTTTTCTTTTTTCCCCCCAAATCCAGACATAAATTATTTCTAGTGATTAGTATGCCAGGATATCAAGAGCTCAGACCTGCAGTGATGCTTTACTTGATACATTTAAGAAAACTCTGATAATAAAGCCATCAGCTATAAGTACGAGAGGGCAGTGACATCTATGCTACTTTGCCTTCGTAAGAAGAAGGCAGCACTTGAGGAAAGCCTCTATTATAAATGAAGATACACTGTATAATAAAGCAAGACAAGCAAACCAACCAAGCCAAAGGCCTTTCACAAGAATGGATCTAGAAGAAAAAAATGCAGTGAGCAACTTTAAGTATTTTTATACCCAAGCTGTGTTTTAAATAAGCACCCAAGGTAGAGGAGCATTTGTATGTGGGATGCCTCTCAGCTCACGGATACAACCACAAGGACATCCTCTGAACTGAACAGATGTTTCAACAYTCTAATTAGCCAGATTTTTCCTCACCTCATATATTAAAAGAAACAGGAGAAATAATACACAACTCTAAGGAGAATGTTTTGCAAGTTGCAGGTATTTGACGCTACATTCAGCATCTCCTTGTGCCTTTTGCTTAACACAAGATTTTTCTAATGACACTGTCCTGTGTACTCAGCACTTGAATACTTTGGCACAAATTCACTTCATGGAGAAGTAGTGTAATTCAGTCGATAAAAGTGCAGAGGCAGAAGGCCTGACCTCCTCTGACAATAACTTAGTGCACTAATTAACTTAAGGAAACCAAAATCTGCGAGACCCCTCTCCTAGCACAAGGCTCCACATCTGTCACGAAAGCGCTGCAGAGCGATGGGCAGCATGGTTAGCCCCTAGGAAGATCCTGAGGATGGGGATTTAACAGGAAAGGGCATCAAAAGAGCAGCATGGAATTAAAAAAKAAATAAATAACAATAAAAAAAAACAGAGATAAATTGGAAACTAATGGAGTTTCAAGCGATACACTGAAATGCTCAGTACAATGGCTCAAAGTGAGGAGCGAGAGCACTTGGAAGTTCTGAGCAAATTTTAGCAGTAAATTAAATGTTAGCTAAAAAGAGGTAAGATTTTAAAAATAAAGGAAGGAGAGTGGATAGATGAAAGCTGAAAATTTGTGCAGAAGAGACATGGAGGCAATTAGGATAATAAATGAGTGATAGAAGAGCTAAAAATAAATACAAGAGAAGATGCTTTAAAGGAATCAAGGTTAAAAAAATAAAAATAGACAATAATAAAAATTAAAGGGAATTTTAAAAGTACCTGGGGAAAAAATAATAATTAAAAGGAAGTTAATATAGCCTCACTATAAAGTGTAATCAGATCTGGTTAATTAAAGATGTTTACCCWTATGTCTATTCTCAAGAGATTTGCCACTAAGTGGTAACTGATCTCATGATCTGCATGTACCACTTTTTTTTTTTTTTCTTTTAAATCCATGTCAATCCGAGAATCCTTTTTCTGGTGTGACGCTGAACCAGGTCGGTGTATTTGCATTTCCCCGCTGCCATTTAACAAGAATATCCTGTGTCAGGCAGTCTTAGAGACACAAGAGTCCTATGAAGTCAGACCAAAAAAATCAAGAAACAAAAAGTGAGAGACCAGTCTGAGTTCCTTGAAGAATGTGGCCAAAAGGGGAATATATCTAGGTAGTGGTTGGCTCTTGTCTCCTACATTTTATGTTTTAATCACAAAAAGCCCTCCTTTGCTACCAGCCCACAGGCCCTTTAAGGAGCACCAGAGGAGCAGGGAAGGTTGCAGGGACTTGGGTTCATCATCACTTTGAGACCCATTTCAAAGGCAGGGCTTTGTTATCCAAGCAATATTTACTGAGGCTGCTTCCTTTCAATGTGGTTATCTCTGCAAAGGAGGAATCCAGCCCATTGTCTTCACTGAAATCACGTGCAGCTCGTGTGGTTTGTTTACGRCAGAGTATTTGGCGAGCGAATGCCCAAAGGTAATCTGGAAATCCGTCATGAAAGGGGAAGACCAGCCAGCTTTGCACTTCAAAAGGAGACTTTGCTCCACAGCGCAGGGTCTCCCATAAATATTGCATCAGCAGCCAGACCCCTGGCACTTAAGATTAATAGGATGGAAGTTATCAAAGCTAACACGTCAAAGTAACGGGGACCAAAGCAGGAATCCCGTAACGTCCTGAACAACTGACTCATCCGGCATTGCCTTGCTGCTCGCAGCGGGCCAGACTAAGGGAGGCAGGAGCTTATGGAAAAATACACAAATTCCACTCCAACTCCCTGATTTTGTGYGCGTCTTTCAAAGGCCTGAGCTGCTTTAATTACAAAATGGCAGGGAAAGGTAGGAATATACTGCCACGAAGACAGAAAAAGRGGGAATACAGAAAGCTATCCTTGCTACCAACACATCATTAAATCCTTTCCTTTGACGTTCTGACAGTAATTGCACTGGATGGGATTGAATTTTGTTAAAATTACTTTAAAAGGGTTGTTGAGAATTTCCTGTGGGATGCAGATGCTAGTACCAAGGCTTTCACTTCATTTTCTCTGTTGTCCTTACGCTCCCAAGGGGCTTATTGTTCATCCTGCTTTTTGACAGCATGAAGGCCTATGTAAACACCCCCTGAAAAGAGAAAGCTTCACCAGATACTGCCATTTGGGTTTGTTTTCTTCTGTCAGAGGCAAAGATAAATATTCCTACCTGATTCACAGCTGAGCTTGTTGAATGTGTATTTTTAGCAATCAACCAGCTCTTCTGATAAAAGCAATGGAGCACAAACGACTACACAAAATTATATTTAGGGCAGTGCCATTTCTTTTTTCAGGAAGCAGCCACAGACTTCTGAAAATTTGACCTTCCTCACCAAAGACATAACTGCTGCACTCAGAAACTTGCCATCTTCACCCATTGCAGCAGAGAGATATATGGGATTTCAAAATACAACTATGTGGTCAAATACATGGGCAGTTTTTTTCAGCCTCTAAAATAAAATGAGGCTCTTGAAGCTGCTTTTTTTTTTTTCTTTAATTTCAGATTGTTTGCCTGTCTCAGTGCTTCTTACGACATTCCCTTTGAGTTCTGGGTCCCACTTCTTGCCCAAAGACCAGAGTGTTTTTCTGCTATGCCAAGACTTGACTATAAATCATGAAGCTGGCTGGGCAATATCCATTAACTAATGTAGTCAAATTTCATGCAATTTATTAATCTGCTTCTTTTCTCTTTCATCTTGAGTTACAGAGCAGAGCAAATAATCTATATTATTCACTGAATAATGTAGATAAAAATACTTTGGCTGCTGTTACAATAAAATATCCAGCAAATACTTTTATTTCCTTTAAGCATTCTGCCCAAATCAATGTGAATGAATGACGAAAGCATTTTGAAAGGGACACAAACAGTTGTCCACTTCCTGGCGTACGATGTTGTGTTTTGTTTCGCATGCAGTGAATGTGAACACCCACGGATCACCATATAGATGAAAGTGCTGTTATTTTTTAACCATTTTAAAAATAACAACAAGAACAACAATAGAACATTGTCGTTTCCTCCAGGGTGAGAATGAGTCAGACTTCTGCACTACTTTCTTTTTTTTTTCCCCTTCTTCAGCTGCTGATGAAGAAGTCAGTCTGCCTTTAGAGCCTCCATGGTCAAAAGCCCAAGAACAGCTCCTGGGGTAACTATTATTCGTCCTGCCTTCTGCACGCACAGAGCCAATGCAACAACTTCAGATTGTGCTGCTAGTGTTTTCTTGTGCCTCTATGCTCTGCTGCGTTTGTGGAAAAGAAAAAGTAAAAACACTGAATAGTTAAGCCCCTAGAGAAATACTGGCAAATACACTGCCTGTGATGCCATCAAATTTCATGAGTTTAAAGAGAATTGGAGCTGCTCGTTGTTTCAATGGAAGACTCCCACGGAAAATGGCTTCGAGAAATACAGTGGGTGGTGTTCACCCTGTGGCGTGAGGACTAATTTAACGCCACGGGGCTGGATGGTGCTTTGCTGTTACCTGGATGGCCAGAGTTGAGCCGCTGGATGCTGCAGTGCACATCTGTATTCCCAGAGCTGCTGCTTCCCTGAGCTCCCGGGAAGGCCCTCGTGCTCCAGAGGGCCAGGGCTGCTCCAGGCACGCGGCACCGTGCAGGGGCTCAGGCACCTCGCGCACACGCTGCAGCTGGAGCCACGATTCCGGCCGCCTCGCCGCCACCGCAGCCCCTGGCATCTATCAGGCACCTAGTGAATGAGCTATTTTCGTGCAAACTGTGGGTTTGAATCCTCTCTGGCAGAGACAGGAATCAAAGACAGGCCTGCCAGTTCCCCTGTAAGCACTTCAGTCATTAGGCAGAAAGGAAATTTTTTAGTGAGAGGAACTGCTGATTGACAGTGTCACTGTTGACAGAGAAATACACTCATCTGTCCCTGACATTTTTTCTTTCTCTGCCCGTCCCATAAAGTTTGATCTGCTTTTTTCTTCCTCCCTCTCTGTATATATGGGATATATATATACACATATATACTTGAAAGCAATAAGGAGACCTCTTCCATGCGCCAAACTAAGAAGTTAATAATCAAAGGAGTCAGTAGTTCAGCAGCTGACAGAGAATCTGCAAAACAGACCTGGTTACTRCCTCTATCATTTGCTGCCCAGAGACTTCCTCACACAGAGGCAGCCACTCTATTCAGGATTCCTCAGAGGTAGATTTCTCTTTGATTAACTTGTCCAGTTTCCCCTTGAGTCCAGGTTAACTTTTAATTCCCCACTGTTTTTCTCCAAACAGATATACACCCCAGTTACACTTTGTTTAAAAGTATCTTTCTTCCCTTCTCTTTAGGACCCAACACAGCAGTTTTGCATCTCTCTGGAGAAGCACTGAGAGATGAACTGAGCAGCTTCATACTCTGCATCTTCCTCTGCTGTTTTTCAGTCCYGTGAAGTTGTGCAGGAGGGGATATGATTAGTAGAAAGAGCAGAGGAGCAAGAGTGTGGTCTTCTCTGATCCAGTTCTGGCTTTGTCCCACCTAAGTGACTGGGGGGCTTTGGGCAAACCAGCTCATTCCGCTATACTGCTGTACTTCCACCATTGAAACACTGGCATAACCACCTCCTCGAAGAAACAGTGAAGTTATTCATTAGTAAATGACAGTACAAAGCTCTAAAGCAGCAAAATTGTATCACCAGGAGGAAAGGAGACCTCCCTTTGCAAAGCACAGGACTATCTTTAAGTCCATGAAYTCAGCAAGGCTCCCACAAGCTCACTTTAAATTACACACTTACTTAAGTGTTTTTTAGAGATACTTTATATTGTCCAAAATTAGATAAATCAGTCAAAAGAAAAAGCTGTCTGGAATTTATTTTGACAATGACATCTGCTTCTTATATAAAAAAGGGCAGAAACAGTAAACACCACTTAGACACTCTTAGAAAAACTGCACCAGAGAGGTTAAGATTACCTGTGAACTACTCCTGCTCGATGAAGATGCTCTACTGCCAGAATAAGCTGCCTGATATATTTGCGCGCTTCGTGCTCTTCAAGTCTTTTTTTCTCATAGATCTTATGCATCAAGTTGCCACCAGGGCACAGCTCCATGACAAGGTAGTAGCTGTTCTCTGTCTCCAGTATATCCAGCAGCTGAGCAATGTTGGGGTGGCGGATCATTTGCTGGATCTGCCCTTCCCGTCGCAGATTCTTGGTGACATAGGTGTCTTTTTTGGCTCTTTTCTTGTCAATGACTTTCACTGCCACCTAACGAGAAAGAGAGGAGAGGGAGGTTGTTATTAGTCCTACCAGTGGTTTATGGCTTTAATCTTGCACAAAATAAAAAAAAAAAAGGAACAATAACAATAAAAACACAGAATAAATTAAAGGGTGTTAGTCCCAACTGATAGATTTTTTCAGGCACAACTACCTAGCACAGAGAAATAGCTGTTTTCCCCTCGAGCTTAACTTCTCTCTTTATCCCCTTGTAGGATGACAGACAAAAGTTGTCGCAAGGAAACAGGTAACAAGGCGAGGAGATAATTCCTTTAAGCAAACACTCTGTACCCTTAATGCTGGACTTCTATTGCACCCATCTCCTCAGAAAGCCTTCGTCAAAGCCTATGCAGACAATCACACACGGGAAAAGAGCCCCAGCCCGTGTCCTGTGCCGAGGAGCCAGGCACAGCAAATCCCCTGTGCTGCTGTAMTTCGCAGTCCTGCAGCGGGCAAGGCTCTGGCAACGGGGAGACGGGCTCACTGGAAACACACCAGGCCACCTCCCCAGCCGCAGCGAGTGCCAAGCACGCGTCAAGCGCCAGGGTCATCAGCCTCGTATTGGGTTTCCCTTCAAGGAAAGGAAAGGTTAGATTAGCGAACGCTTCGGTTTCCCTTTAAAACAAACGCACACACAGAGTATGATCTGGAAAAAGAAAAACCGACCCTGGACCTTCGACAAGAATCCCTTGAATCCATGTCAAGTTTTATCAGAATAGGAGCTGAAGAAGAAAACTACAGGAGTTTAACAGTTTGCCATAAAACAAGAAGTCAGCAACACTGCATACATTATGAGCTGTGTTCACCTCTTAATTATGTTGTGATGTTAAATGTTTATTCTCATGAAATGCCCTTGCTATAAAGGCAAGGCTAAGGACAGCTACCTGGGTGAAAGACAGAGCCCGGTGCCGCAGTACTGGAACCACAAAYGCCTGGAAGCCGCATTCCTCACTAGTCACATTAAAGAAAGATTACTTGGCTGTAAGCTAAGACAACAGGGAAAATCAGAGCTTAACTTAACCATTTTTGAAAGCCTCAGGTGATTCACCAAGGAAACAGTCTTAAATTAGTACATTCTTCCATCTAATGAGATAAGACCGGGGAGAGAGGCTTGCATAGATTATTTAGACAGCAAACCACAGAAGTTATTCTGGCGAGGACAAACAAATTCATAGGTGACAGAAACGTGGTGTCCCAGTTTGCTGGCTGGCAGCGCAATACAATCTCTGCAAGGGATTATTAAAAAGAAAACAAAACAAAACAAAACAAAACAAAAAAACCATAAAATGGTCATTTTTGCTACAGCTGCAGGATAGAAAATAGAGAGCATTAACCATGCGGAGCAGTAATCTGTTTTCTGAAGCGTCCTGTGAATCCTGTTATCCATATGAGTAAGCCATTCCCAACGCTTTGACTAAAAAGCACAGCCTGCACAGAGGGACTCTCCATAACAGTTTCATCCAGCTTTTGTTCTGCCTCCCAGGAGGGCTTCCTATCTCTTCCACTTATTTTCCTGTCTGCCTATCAACATCCTTTCCTTTGAGCTGCTCCTTTGGCCTGTGCTTTCTCCAAGGATCCCTCGCTTTCCTCAACGGAACGTAGCCCTAGGCGAAAGGCCCAGCACCTGGAGACTTTAGTGGGGCTCGACTTTCTTGGGATTTTCTCCTGATTTACAATCTATTTGGAGCATATAAAGGAAAGACTAAAGGGCCAAACCCTGCACTCAGGTACAACAGGGGTGACTTAGTTGATTTTGAGTTCATCTAGAACTACCCTGATGCATGTGAATGCAGCATGTGTCTCAACGCATTTAATATATACCATGTAGGAGGCTATGCATATATGTGAATATGATCCTGAAAACTTCATCTGCACAAATGGAAAAAAAAATAAAGCATTCACTGCAGAAAATAGAGTAGATAATAGCTAAACAAGAAATAAATGCACCTGTGTTTCCAAAATTGCTCAGGACATGCCAATTATCCTGTTTTGCTATCCAAGCTTCGAGCAGGGGCTCTTTGCCTCTGCACTGCCTGCATTCTGCCTATCTCGCCTCTGAAATTCTCAGCCAATATTGGCAGAGGAATAATAAATAAATGATAAAGTCAGTAATTACTCCGAATATGTAGCAACAGTGGCTCTTGACATTCAACACTTTGCTTTTGGCTACATCTTCGCTCTGTAAATAAATAAACGGTTTAGGTTATTCTGTGTTATGAGATACAAAGATGAGTAATAGGCCATATTTTTGGTTCCCGAGACCTAGAATTGCACTGTTAGAATGAATTACTTTCCTGAAGTTTATGGCGTGACACATCGTATGAGCAATTGCTGCCTCTCCTGATTGTAGCCCTAAAATAGTTCAGGTTTGGCTGAACCATACCGGAACGGAGGTGAGGGGGAAGTGTAAACACCACTAAAGATAGTCGTAGGAAACAGCTACATTGCCTACAGAACGAAGCAACCAAAACAGCAGCAAATACCAGCATGTGGCACCACCCAAACAAAGGCTCATGTCTCACACGTATGGGTAGGAGATTTGGGGCAGCTAGGGCTTCAAGASGGTCCATAAATCTGTAAGAATAGAAGCAAAAAAGATAGGAAAAAAACAAAAAAGAGAACTGAGGGGCCGTAAACAGCAAAGAMGCAGTCGCAGTAACACCCCAAAAAGGGTCAAAAAGAGACAGTCTAAGSTAATGCCTGGAAAAAGCTGAGTGCTGGGCTCCTGTTGATAGATTATAGATGTGTTCACAGAAAGCACATTTTGTGTGTTCTTTGGAAATAGGGATACACTGACTTCCTCCATGCCAGGAGAACTCGTAAGGCTAAGGTTTTGCTTAACCACACTGAGTCCAAAGAAGTAGCCAAAGACAGGTTTGGAGATACACGGGATGAGGCCAAATCAAGCCCAAATTAATCTCATTAAGCTCAARAAAGTGCTGGTAGGGCTAAACCAATTCAACGGCTGTTTGCTGCCCTTGGTTCTTGCAAGGAAGAATCACTCCAAAACTGCGGCAAAGCAGGGAAGGTGGCTCAGAGGAAACACCGAGTTACCCTATGACTGTAAGCGAGGACACAGAATGTCCGTTTTCTCCTGACCTCCTCCACCCTCCTCTCCATTCTCCCCAAAGGAGAAATAGTGAAAAAAMCCCAAAACACTAGTACCAGAGGAAAGACTTATCCAAAGGATGGATCTTGCCTTCAGCCCAGCCCTTGGGCAGCAATCCCCATGCAGGTATCCTGCTGCTGGAGACAACCGGCTCTCCTCCAGCACACGTGATCCCGGGCACACATGACATTCAGCACACGGTGGGTTTCTCCTGGGCCGGCCTGGCTGCCTCTCGCACGACGCCCTGGCCTCGGCCTCCACGTGCCCGAGCACGAGGCCCCGCTCGCAGCGTTGCCGGTGCCGCTCTGCTCCCTGGCAGCGAGCCGGGGCCGGGAGGCACTGCCTGATGGGGGGGCGCAGGGGAGAAGGAGCTTCCAGGTGCTCGGTGGGCACAAGCCAAAGCCGTCTTCTCCTGCTGGTTATTTATAACTGCACTGTGACATCGCGAAAAATCATGGGTCAAAAACACAGTGCTTTCGTCAGCRAAGGAAAAAAAAACATTTCCTTACACAGTGGACATGCAAAGGTTTATTTAGACTGCTGCCCTACTGCTCTACAGCAAAATAAAAGTAATATGGTCTTGTCAGCGAGGGGCTCAGTCTTAGGCTGGGATTTTTCTTCAGCCTAGTCCTCCATAAATACCCCTTCATGCTCAAAATCTACTCTGAAAAGTCCTGCATTTTCCCACCTCAACACTGTTCTGCTCCAAGAGGAAGTTCAAGTCACGGCACTGCTGCAACGTCCTGCCCATGGGAAACCAAGGGTTGGTTCCTGGGGGAAGCTAAACATGAAAAGAGTAACAAGGGAGAGGGAAGGGGAAGGCAAGACAAGGTTGATGCAGAACTGCTTATGTATGTATGTACGTATGTACAAGTATGTACAAGTATGTACAAGAAAAGGCAAGAGATTTGGTTTTCTCTGAGCAATAAAGTTTTATTCCATCTCTGGTTTTATAAGTGAAGGTATCTATTCCTCTACCTTGATGAACCTCCGTCTGGATCCAGGGAGGCTGCACTGTCATTGCATCTGAATCAAAACTAGGTGACAACACACGACGACTGGTGATTGAAGTCACGCAGCATGTGAACACTCAGGAGCCCCAGGTCCGAATTCAGGCTCGAGTTTCTCCTTTGCCACACTATGTGTTTCCGCACAGGCTGCCTCTTGGCAGAAGGAGGCATCTCGATGGAAGCAAGTCTTCCTGTTTGCCAGAAAACAGGTTGTTCTCTGCAGCACGCTTGCTGAGCCAAGGTCAAGGGGTCTTGAACAAAACCAATGTCAGGCACTTGTAATGGGAACTAAAAGAAAAAYCGTGCAGTAATTTTGCTTCAGCCTGCAAAATCAAGTGCTAATATGCTTCACCTTACAGAGGAAATGCAGACCACACGTGACCTTGCAAAATCAGAGCCTGACTCTGAGGACCTTTCTTTTTGATTATTAAGTACCCCCACTTATCCAATCATTCCACTTTGTGCCTCTCTGCAAGTTCTCTCCTCACTCTTAATAAGAGGAAGTCAGTTGCTGCAGTTCTCTGCCAAAGAGAACTCCCACTGAATGGAGAGGAAACTGGTCTGAATAAGGGTCCAACCAGCACAGCGGGGCWTGTCCTGGAGAACTAAACACAACGTGCGACAAGAAACTACGGATTGCTGCATAGATACACTTTTTTTTTTTTTTTCCTTTTTCCAGCAATTGCTTCTSACAGAGCTGCTGGAAATGGTGCCAATGCCAGTGGTAGCAGCCGGTCACAGCAGTGTCCCCAACACACCCTGACCACCCACACACAGAGTGCAGAGCCCTGGACGATGGGACATGGATGGATCAGTTGGCAACAGCCACCGACATCTAAACTCACCAACATTTACTGCCTGATTAA